CCTTCCACACACACACACAGACACGCACCCTGGTCACACCTCCCACACACACACACAGACACACACCCTGGTCACACTTCCCACACACACACACAGACACACACCCTGGTCACACCTCCCACACACAGACACACACCCTGGTCACACCTTCCACACACACACACAGACACACACCCTGGTCACACCTTCCACACACACACACAGACACACACCCTGGTCACACCTTACACACACACACACAGACACACACCCTGGTCACACCTTCCACACACACACACACAGACACACACCCTGGTCACACCTCCCACTCACACACACCCTGGTCACACCTTCCACACACAGACACACACCCTAGTCACACCTTCCACACACACACACAGACACACACCCTGGTCACACCTTCCACACACACACACAGACACACACCCTGGTCACACCTTACACACACACATACAGACACACACCCAGGTCACACCTTCCACACACACACACACAGACACACACCCTGGTCACACCTCCCACACACACACACCCTGGTCACACCTTCCACACACACATACAGACACACATCCTGGTCACACCTCCCACACACACACAGACACACACCCTGGTCACACCTTCCACACACACACAGACACACACCTCCCACACACAGACACACACCTCCCACACACACAGACACACACCTTCCACACACACCCTGGTCACACCTTACACACACACACACACAGACACACACCCTGGTCACACCTCCCACACACACACCTCCCACACACACACAGACACACACCTTCCACACACACACAGACACACACCTTCCACACACACCCTGGTCACACCTTACACACACACACACACAGACACACACCCTGGTCACACCTCCCACACACACACCTCCCACACACACACAGACACACACCTTCCACACACACACAGACACACACCTTCCACACACACCCTGGTCACACCTTACACACACACACACACAGACACACACCCTGGTCACACCTCCCACACACACACCTCCCACACACACACAGACACACACCTTCCACACACACACAGACACACACCTTCCACACACACCCTGGTCACACCTTACACACACACACACACAGACACACACCCTGGTCACACCTCCCACACACACACCTCCCACACACACACAGACACACACCTTCCACACACACACAGACACACACCTTCCACACACACACAGACACACACCTTCCACACACACACAGACACACACCTTCCACACACACCCTGCTCACACCTTCCAACCGCCCCCTTCGTCTTCTTCTTGCGCGAGAGGAGCGCCAATGAACGGGAGCATTCTCTCCCCCCCCCCCCACCGCGATGTTTTTTTCCACTTCTCCACCCACTTCTCCACCCACTGCTGCTTCAGCTGCAGGTGCGGAGCCGAAATTGCTGGGTCATCCTCAAGAGCGCAACACCCCTAGGCTGTGTCGTCAGCGATATTTCTAGAAATCCGTGGAAACGTGCATCGATTTATCCGGATTATTAGACGCACTCGATGCATGTGCCCCGGATGACAGTAAGGGGGCACACGTAGGTCAGAGACGAAGATGCCCCGTATAACCTTAGCAGGATGTAGGGGCAAGTGCTGTTAGCGAGCACCTATTAAGACCTGAACGGCACACGAGGGGGTGGGTGGTCAGCACCACGCCCGACCGCTTTTGTCTCCCTAGTGGCGATGTTTACACACCGCGCCATGTACTCATTGGAGGTTGAGTGGACACACGGACACATACACTTCCTAGATTATAGGAAGCACGCCGAACATTTGTCTTCATATACAAGGGAGAATATAAATGCGACGTTTAATTGTGTTTATTAGACTTTGTTGCGACAAGGTACTAGCAACGTGTGTTTCTGGATTAGCCTGCTTTAATCTTCTTGAGCGTCACATTCTGCCCAAAGAAGCCATCAAAAAACCCGATTTATCTGATTCTGATTCTTGCATGAGGTTTCAACACTCATCGGTGTCAACCTGTAGAATCCAGTTGAAGCATGGAATACTGTACACGAATTCTTCCGGACACGAGACTGTGCTTTGGCTCTCAAACTTTCGACATGCAGTGAACCCGTCGCTGTAACAAAGATATACCTAAGAATTAGATATAGCTTTAAAACTACCAAACACAGCCTGACAAGAGACTCGTATTCGAAAATGTTGGTTTTCAGATTTCATGAGCTTAACCTACACTGGGGCCCTTACCTGGTAAAAAAAAAAACCCACCTCGGTGCTGGGTTTTGCTCCGGGTTCAGGTTACTGCCATCAGGGTTGCGATTTCCGCATGGAAAATGCGGAAGGAGGGTTCAAATTTTCCCGCATTTTTGCTAAAGTCAACCGCAAACGGTGGAAAGACTACTCCTATGACCGCGCGCTTTTAACAACACGTTAATGCGTTCTATTGGAAAGGATACATGCAAGGCCCAGCATCACGTAGGGCTTTGAGTTACTGATTGGAATGAATATATGATTTCCGCATTTCCGCACAAGAACCACATACTTTATTCAAATGCGGAGCCGTGATTACGAGCACATGTACATGATGTATCCTTTCCAATAGAACGCATTAACGTGTTGTTAAAAGCGCGCGGTCATAGGAGTAGTCTTTCCACCGTTTGCGGTTGACTTTAGCAAAAATGCGGGAAAATTTGAACCCTCCTTCCGCATTTTCCATGCGGAAATCGCAACCCTGACTGCCATACGACGCCATCGACTCACTCGTGTAACGTGGCCAAATCATCCCAAATGTGGCAGCAACCCACCTGTGACAACGAGTTAAGAGAGACTTTGGCGAGGCTCACTTGCGCGAAATAATTTGCAATCATATTATGATCATGATTTACAACGCGCGATTAATATTTCGTAGAGGGGGAATTTAAAACGCAACGAACGCTACGAAAAGACAACCCACGTTTTATTCCGGTAGCTTTATAATGTGTAGTGGTAGGTAATACAGGTAGGAACAACAGGTTCCACACTGCCCACCAGGGATGATTTGTTTGTCTGTCGTGCACGAATGCGCTGTCCAACTAAGTTCCTACATGCCCACTCCAAAGGAACGTGTTAATAACCCCCCTCGGTAGCCACTTGCAAATCAGACGTGAAACGATTGCGTCATTGTTTCCACTCGCTCCGCGGAAATCCGCGGAAGCACTGTCAGTAATAATTCTAAGCGCTTACGTAATAAGCGATTGCATACGTGGTGGGGTTGACAATGCGCTGCACGTGGAACAGGAGTTGGTTGTTCTTTGTTGTTGATGACGATAATACATGGAGTCAGTGCCTGATTCTCCTTGTAGCAAAAGTAGCTACATATGCTACGGGCCCCGTACTTTCAAGGGCCCCGCGCTAAATGCTCGATTACTATAGTACTATACCGCCTTAAACTTTTATAAACGACCGAGTGTTTAAGGTTAGCGATTTGTCATTATCTGGCTGTATAGCAAATGAACAAATCCAATTACTTTACTGTGCAAGTAAAAAAATTGTGTTTTAATATTTACGTGTTTTTTTTATTTAGGGCCCCTTTATAAAATATCGCTACAGGCCCGGCACTAGCTTAATCCGGCACTGCATGGTGTAGAGACCGTTTGAAACATCTAAATAGGAAAACCCAGCGTCCTTTGCACGCTCACGTCAGCAACTTTGCCAACATTCTGCACAGAAGTCTTGTTCAAATTCCAAATCGGCTCAGCAGTTCAAGTTCATGTATTAGGTATAGCCCTGTGAGCCATTCGGCTCTTGAATCGGGTGCAACTGCAACAAACAAAAAAATCCAAGAAAAGACATCAAAATATTGCAGAAAAAGCACCGTACACCAACACTGTGTGCAAAAATCCCAGTGGGATGCAATTCAAACAACAACAACAACCATTATACAACTTAGATTAAGGCCATCAGTCTAACTCTGCACTACAACAAACAAACATGGCCAAACCAAAAAACTTTTCGAAAATCACCAAAATAAAGCCAGCGACGGCATTATCATTTGACTCACCGGCGTGGGACACAGCTTTCGTCGGTGCTGGTACATAGCGTCCAGCATATGGGTGCGGTTCTCACACTCGCAAGAAATTCGATCTGCTATCCGACACATCGCCTTTAACGCACTGTATAAGGGGGCACGTTCTGTTAGCAAGCAGCACCTATGAAGGCCGCGAGGGCACACACGAAGGATTGGGTGGCCAGCACCACGTACGGCCGCCTTTGTCTCTCCCCAGTGATGATTTCTTTGGTTGTTGACACACCGCGCCAGGTACTCAGTCGATCAAGCGCAGGTTCGCGATCGGTTCAGATATATTTCATCGCCGATGTTGGCCGTGAGCGAGAGAGTTGGTAGCACACAGTGCGGTAACCACTGCACCACCGCTCCCCCACTAGTTTCCACATACTACACACAAAGCTCGCCCTTATAGCCTTAACAGACTGTCGGGGCAAGTGCTGTTTAGCGAGCACGAGGGGGTGGGTGGCCAGCAATGTTTACACATCGCACTCATTTGAGGCTGAGTCAATCTAGGGGAGGCCCAGAACCGGGTCAAATAATCGCAACTGGTGTTGGCCTTGAGCGGGAATCGAACCTGTATGGCCAGGTTCGTAGCGCAGCGCGCTAACCGTTACACCACCGCTCCCTATACACACACGCACGTACACACACACGCACACACACAATCCCCATGCATCCACGAACTCTCCCGCGCTCACTCCAAACACAAAACAACAAAAATCGACCTTCCTCCTTTGGTTGGTTCCAACCAACAATCGACCTACGTCTCCCTGCCCCCCCCACATTCTATTTGCCATACTCTCGATAAACACGTGTTCGGCGGTAAGGGTGTGTGTCTGCGTGCCTGCTGCTGCTGTTGTTGCGAGATGGGCCACATCCCCATCGCAGGGCCAATCAGAGGACGCGTTCCGTGACAAGTCAGTCGCGTGGGGACGTGGGGAGGAGTGTGAGCGCGCTTATTTAGCCGCCTGGCCTGGCCATGCTCAGCCTTCTTTTGCTCTCAGCTGCTGCTCATCCTGTTTGACTGCTTGCTCTCATTCTCTCGCTTTCTCTCTCTCTCGCTCGCTCGTTCGTCCGTCCCATCCATCCCATCCACAGCAGCGAGTGGCTCGAATCTGCGAGTCACATCATCCACACACTCACACACGTGTGTAGGCGAGAAGCGAAAGGCGTCTTTGCAAACCGGATTCTCGTCCGGCGCGGCAATAATAGGCCACTGTAATTTATTATAATAATTTTTATTCTGCTTCTGTGCGCGCTCACGTTGATGTAATTTTTTTGGTCGTGAGTCATTGCGAACAAGCCGACTGCAACACCTGCGAAGGGTGAGTTTATGATCCTGCGAGCCCGGCCCATTGGCTTCACTGTTGAACGGCGGCACCGCGGGGCATGCCCCTTGTTTTAAAACGCGACCCTCCCTCCCTCCCTCCTCCAGCCACGTGTGATCTTCTTATCTTGCTGTTCTTATTCTTCTTCTTGTTGTAAACGAGAGATGTCTTTTGTGAAGTCTTCGCCGCGTTCGCCGTGTGACCAAAATGCGTGCGGAGTCCCCCCTGCACAGCTGCGTCTGTAATCATGCTGCAGTATTTCGTCAGCTGGAAGAGAGGAATGCTGGTGGTGGTGGGGGCAGGGTGGATTATCACGTGTATTTTTAAAACGATATCTTTAATGTATTTCGAGAATAATTATTGTAATTTATTTCTATCGCCCGGCTCCCCCCCGCATCTAATTTTCCGTAACCGTGTACCTCGTGGCACGTATTGGGTGGTCTCTACTGCTGCTGCTGCGTGATGTTGCGGGAGGGTTTTTGTTGTTGTTTAAAACCGCACAATGACGCGGCAATGCTTAAAGCCACATCGCGTTCTAAATCTAATTTTTTTTTAAAGATCTCATTGTCGTACTATTGGATGGAACGGGGTGGCGCGCGCACTGATTAGCGCGCTGCTCCGTACATCTGACCACCCGAGTTCAATTCCGGCCCACGGCTAACGCTGAGCGGTGCGTGATGTGGATATCGTGATCGGTTCTGAGCCCACACTTCCCACGGAACCCCCCCCCCTCCAGCTTCACAGACCCTCGGTAACCAGCGTGGTGAAGTATGGTTAAACTCCGTATGCCCGACACGGCACCGTGAGACTTTCATCCACAATGTTTTGGTGGCAAGAGCAGTAAATTATTACTTTAATTGTTAGCGGCTTGGCCCTAGCCATTGCTGGTTTAAGCATCTGGGAGTTCTAGGGGGAACCTTTTTGTTGTTTGCTGTAAAGAGCGGTGTTTTTGGCCTACTCTTCCACGCTGGCCATACTCCCTTGAAATAGGAAATAATCCACCTAATTTACGTACGGTACGAAAGAAGTTCGACAAACACACAACTTGCCGAACGTATACATATCAGAATCGGAAGTTTTAGAATCCGAATGTGTATCTCTTACTGGAAGAATTTGATGAGCTATAACGCTCTTTCAAAGACGTCCAGTGTAGGGGGCTGGGGGTCAGAACTTGACAACAATACACAATATAAAAACGCGAAAGGTGTGCAAAGTATGGGAAATCTAAATAAATCGCTAAAAAATATACAAATGAAACGAAACAATATTTTTTTATCTTGCCAGGTAAAGCCCACTGAGCTATTAACTTAATCGACCTGGCCACAATTGATGAGCTCAACAAAGTGGCGGCTTCTAAAAGCAACAAAAATAATCAAATGTTGATTTGAAGCTTTCGTGACTTGCAAGGAAACCATACTCCTTGGTTCTTCGGTCAAATCACGTAGGTAAAAAAATTAAAATAAATCACGACGTTTCGGGCGCTACACCAGCATCCATCGTCAGCTGTATAAATAATCAAATGTTGAGTTGAAGCAGCGGATTATTTAAAAGGCCACTCGGCGGGCAGGCGACATCGGAACATCGACACGCCGGGACTTATTCCAAGTCCCACGATTGTAAAACGACCTCGTCTGGTTCATCTTCACCCGGAGCCCGTGGCCCATGCGACAGCAGCGATGTCTTGTCCTCTGATAGAGGCTTCGTTGAATGAACTGCCAGCGCCTTACGGACGCGTTGGGCCATATTCATTCATTCGGTCGGTCGTCGTCATCCCGATCCATGTGGCAGATAAGCCCTCTAGGTTATAACCGCTGCAACATTATGTAATGTTTCCACTTTACTCGTGTCCTTGTTCCAATGTTCGCTAGGAGTGGCCGCATCTCTCCTGGCACCAAATCTCTCTATACGATGTCGTCATCTTCTAAACATTCTCCGTTCGCGTCTTCACCCTCCGTTCCGGTTCCTTCCATCCCCCCCCGAACAGCACAAATTTTCATTTCCCTGTCGTTCTCCATCCTACATTCGTGTCCAAAACGGTGCCAGTTGCCTTCCTCATCGCAGCCCGCGTCTTCCATCTGGCTCGCTACCACTGTGCGAACTCTGCCGTACGTGATTAATAAGGCTTCTGCCAAGCCCCCCCCCCCACTGCGCCTTTTGACTTCTCTTGGAATGTGGCGAGAGCCGCGTGTCACTGACGCGGCCTCCTCCCACATGGCACGCCGAGGGCTCCTCGGCGTGCCACCGTGTGTGTGTCACACTAACTTTGTGTGTCACTAACTCTGTGTCACTGTGTGTCTCACTAACTGCGTGTGTCACTCGCTGTGTCACACTCGCTGTGTGTGTGTCACTCGCTGTCACTCGCTGTGTCACTCACTGTGTCACACTCTGTGTCACACTCTGTGTGTGTCTCACTCTATGTGTGTCTCACTCTAACTGTGTGTGTCTCACTTACTGCACGCAGAAGAACCCCCCTTCCTCCCTCCTTCCTTCCCCTCCCTCCTTTTTTACGATCAGAGGAAACAATAAGATGCTCGGTGTAGTCGGCACTTTGCTTCGTTCATCATTTAGATGTTTTTAAATGCTTTAATGTATGTGCCCTCCCCCCCTTTTTTAAATGAAAGAATTCACCAAAGATTCTACGCTCTGCTCGCCTCCTTCCTACCCCTTCCATCTCCCTCTACCCCCTCTCTCCACCCCCCCTCTCTCTCTACCTCCTTCTCCTCCCCTCCTTTCTTCCCCCTCCCTCCCTGCTCGTCATCATGGCCCGGGTGCCTGTGCTGTGTGCACCTCGGGGCAGGCCGGTGACGTCACTCGGCCTATCGTGTTTTAAGTGACCTCGGAATTATTCCGTGACCCCCCCCCCCTGCCACCCCCCCAGGCTTTGCCCGCCGAGTGATGCTTGAGGGTAATTCGAAGTAAGCACGTGGGCTTAACCGCAGTGTCGTAATACATTTGAGCAAAATCAAATAGCTGTGCCATTGATTTACCCAGGAGAGCGTCACGACTGACTTTAAAGACCCCCTTCTCCCACGCCGGAGAGTGCTAACCACGTTTGATGCTCAATATCCCACTGAGGACCTTGCTGTACGAGTTCTCTGCATTGTTGAAGTTTTGTCTGTTGTTGCTGTGATCATACAGCAGCAGTAGCAGCACCACGCATCTCCCGTGTAAAATAGCCAGCAAAACCGGCCGTGTAAGAAATCAACGCAAGCTCACTGAAACAACATTGATTGGGATGTCTGGCCAATCCCTAAAAAAATGATAGTTTAGCTTCGTGTGCGAGGGAGACCGCAGAGAACCTATCGCGTGTGTACGAGGGGACGGCACTCAAAGCTCCACACAGATGGATTCGAGAATACGTTGCTGTGCTTCCGTTTCCTGGCTACCTTGCAGGATGGTGCACGGCCTACACTCAGGGCCGGATTAAGCTAGTGCGGGGCCTGTAGCATATGTTAGAAAAGGGACCTAAATATAAAAACAATTAAATATTTAAACATACTTTTAACTTGCATAGTAAAGTAATTGTATTTTTTTCATTTGCTATATGCAGCCAGATAATGCGACAAATCGCTAACCTTAAACACACAGTCGTTCGTAAAATTTGAAGGCGGTATAGTACTAGAGTAATAGAGCAAGTGCAGAATCACTGAACCGGAATTTGTAACTTTAAAGCATTTAGCGCGGGGCCCTTGAAAGTGCGGGCCTGTAGCATATGGTACTTTTGCTCCTAGGATAATCTGGCACTGCCTGCCCACTTATCTTTAGCATGAACAGTTAACTTTATATAAAACTAGTTTTTGAAATTTACCCTACTACTCGACTCGTTTGCCCGACCTCCCTCCAACAACATAGAACTGTGAACCCTTCCAACAACGCACGACCCAAGCGCCCCGCTAACGCGCGTTACTTTGCTCGCAGGCCAGCTTATTTGGAACCAGCACGCCAATAATGTGTTTGTGTGTTTTTATTTAAAACGATGTTTTGTTCTCCACCTTCCGAGACCGATGGTAAGTTCGAGAACGACGAGTCCGCGATAATCCGCACGGTTTGACGCGCGGTCGGTGACCTGCAGTGACCTGCGGCAAGCGGCAAAAGATCACAACTCAAACAACAACAGCAGCAGCAGGGCAAACATTTTATGTTCCGTAGCCAAACTTGACTTTGGCAAAGTGGAACGCGGGGCGCGGGCGCGAGATGGCCCAACTTGCTGCAAGTGGAGTGAAAACATATAAATACATAGCACACGAACGGCGCGAAAAATATATATATACGGCGGGCAACGCTTCGCAAACACGAGGTTGTTTAAGGACGCGTTTCGTTAGCGCTATAGAAGCGGGATGAGTGGCTGTGGGAGAAAATGTGTTTTTTATTTAACATTTTTTTGAGGAGCTCCTGAATACAAAGTGGATTTCAAAAAGGGAGACCAAAACGGAACGGAGAGAGTTCGCCGTGATACGCCCTCAACGTTAACCAAGTTGTTCTTATGTCGCCAGTTCAGGTACCCGCTGAGCTGTGTGCAGCTCTCTTTCGGAATCGATCTGGCCACAACTTATCTGGCGCAACAAAGTGGCTTAGCACGTGGACGCTTTATAGCGGTCCGAATACAAAATCGGTCGCAAGTTGTGTTACGGCACTTTTTGCAATTTCTACTATTTGTTTAGTAGCGACTTTACTACTTTTTTAATCCTTGCTCTTCTTATATCGGTTGTTTGTTTTAAATATCGTTGTTGTGACTCGCTGACTCACCCGTCCTTCCCTCTTCCCCCAACACCCCCTACGGGGACACCATTGAAAAAGAGCTTCATAGCTCATCGGATTCCAACCTCCGGTCTCTAAAAATAAAGATTCCGATTCTGCTGGTGGTGGTGGTGGGGGACGGTCTCAGCGTAGGCACGGCCATACCTACCGGCCCGGCTACTTGCCAAAACTCTGCGTGTCCCGTTTTTTTTTATCAACAGATTCTTATTCTCGGTGGTGCGTAATGCCCCACCCCGATGCCTGTCTGGGCACCCAACAGGGGCAGTGGCTGTTCCCTGTGCTCGCATTTTCTTTTTCGTAAAAGCAGCCCCATGGATTGGGAGGTTTTGGTGACACACGGGGGGAGAGGGAGGTGAAGGAATCTTGAGTGTTTTGCAATCGCCGCCGCGTCCCTCCCGCTCTGGGAGGGGGTGAGTTGGGGGGGGGGCTCTCTCTCTGACGCAGGTCGGACCCCCCCCCCCCCCCTGCTTCGTCTGCTCCCCAGGGGGAGGTGGGGAGGTGGGGTGGTGGGGCAGGAAACGTGGCACGCGTGCGAGGAGAGAACATTCCGGCTGCTGTGAATTACTCGCGGACCGGTGACGTTTCCTTTCTCCCCCCACCCCCCCCCGGCACTGGACCTCGTCACCAAATCATAGCGGGCGAATTGTGTTTTTAAGGAGGTCGAAGCGAGCTCCTAACAAGGCCTGCACTGCGGCGATTGAAAAACACTCAAGGAATTCCTTGGTTCTCGGGCCTCTACCGACCCTTTAGCCGCCGCGAGTGATAATGCCTCCGCTGTTCCCCGCACCCAAACCCCTCCTCGCCGACTGGCGCGGTGAAGTACGGTCAAACGACACTCCGTGACCGGTCGGTGTCGTCCGAGCCCTTTGTCCAGCAGTGGATTGGCCGAGGGACTTTACATCGCTCTCGTTTGTTTTGTGAGATGCTGTTGTTTTGCATTTTGATGCAAATGTGGGTGGGAGCGGGGGGGGGGTTTCGTTTGGGTCGCCAAAGAAATTTTAAAGTTGGCCGCTAGTTTCTTCAAACACACGCTTGTATTTAAGAAAAAGTTTCCAGGGGGGGGAGTGGGGGGGGCGGGGTGGAAATTGGTGTCGGCAATGTGCTTCTACAGCCAGAGTTGTGGGAAATGTTCATCCGGCGGTAGATTGACGATGTCAAATGACGTATGTACGAATGTTGAACTGCTTTCGCGCACCCTCGCGTAGCCGAGCGTGCAAATCGGAGGTGTGCGGGGGGGTGTTGGTCCCAGGCGGGTCGGTGACTGCACGACGGAGTCGATGGTGCGCTGATTCCGTCATCCGTGTTACCATCTACCCCCCCCCCCCCCCACGCGCAGGAGGATGACGCCGACCCCAGTGAAGGAGCAGCAGAAGCCCAAGGAGGCCAACGGCTGCCCCTACTCCCCCGCGGGGCAGCTCGCCGCGGGCATCGCGAAGCTCACGACGGCGCCACAGACGACGACGACGCCGCCTCAGAACGGCGAGGCGGAGGTGGCGGGGGAGCGCGCTTGGATCTCGCCGGCGCTGCCCAGTCGCTGCACCTGGTACCTGGGCACCAAGGACACGTCGCCTCACTTGCACGCCGCTCCGTGAGTTTCCCCTTCCGTGCCCGCTCCCGACATCCCCGTTTTTACGAGGGAGGTCCGAAGCAATGATGATAATAATTTTCATTTTCTTGGTTCTTTCGGTAAAGTCACGTAGAAGGGAAGTAATAAAATAATAAAAATAAAACACGATAAAATAATTCTCACGACGTTTCGGCCACAACGCAAGCAGCCGTCCTCAAGTGAGCAGCCGTCCTCAGGTGAGGACGGCTGCGTTGTGGCCGAAACGTCGTGAGAATTATTTTATTTTTATTATTTTATTATTTCCCTTCTACGTGACTTTACCGAAAGAACCAAGAAGATGAATCCCTGCAGTCACGAAAGCTTTAAATCGAAATTTTCATTTTATAAAGCGTCCTCAAACGATCCTTCCTCGAAGTCCGATTTCTATTTTATAAATGTTTGTCAAATCCGATAACTCGTCATTGTTCACGAATGTCGCCGTTTGCCGCCGGGCGGTGGTGCCGTCACCACGGCGCTTGTGCCAGGCTAGGTGCATCTTGAGGCCGTCGTGTGAAGTGTCACTCGCAGGTCGTCATGGCACAGACCCAGGTGCCATGGGTTGACCGGCTGAGTTGACTGGCAGATGGCACTACCTCTGCTTGATGCAATACATACACCCACACACAGACTATACACGCACCATGGCGTACTTTCTCTAGACGGTGGATTGACAACTTTCAAACTTTTTTAATTCAAGGGTTTAAAATGTTTTAACCATTTCCTGTAACAACTGAAAAGGCCGGTCCTGGAGAGACAGCCTTGCTCACGCAATTGTCGCATCTCAAATGGACTGTGGTCCTGTCATGCCTGACTTTCTGATTTGTGTTTGTTAAACATTATGTAACAACTTTCCGCCATAATGCTGCTGACGAAACATAAAACTTATCTTTTGACACGAGTCCACGTTGCCGCTTTGATTCGCGTCGCCGAAAACAAATAAACGGGAATTTATGGGGAGGGGGGGGAAGTAACGATTTGGATAGGGGCCGCAGCAGTGGCGAGATGTTGATTCCCTCGTCTGATATGCAGGAGGTCGTGGGTTAAATCCCGACCCTGTGACGGCTGCATTTTTAAATCCTTTATATTAAGTTCGCATGCTTGCTTGCTTGCTTGCGTGCTTGCGTGCTTGCTTGCTTGCTTGCTTACGACCGTGCAAATCTTTCGGTCGTTTTTTAACCCACTTCCCGTGATCCAATCGAGCTGACATTTTCCACACAGACTCGATGTGCCAGACAATTATTGTTCGTGAAAAAAAATTCCAAAAATTTTACACTTTTTAGGCAAAAATTTTTTATTTTGCATATATTCAAATATAACTCATTCATCGCTTTGGCTGAACGTCACAGTATAAGAGCCCAGAGCGTAACCCCTCCACAGGCCGTGGCGGAGTAGCGCAGTTGGTAGCGCCCTCGCTTCCCATGCCAAAGGTCGCGGGATCGATCCCCGCGTCCTCCACAGGCGAATATATTTTTAAATCCTTTATATTAAGTTCGCTGCCACGCATATAAAGGATTTATAGTGAAAAACTTTGTTTTTACGGGTTATACTTATTAGAGTCTGGGTGCTAATCCCCGTGGTCGTGTGGATTTTTTGTCGTATGTATGTTGACCTTTCACACCGTGCTTATTGGAGATATGGGGGAAAAACAACTAACTGAACACTTAAAGCATTTATAAAGAAATGAGTTTTCAATCGAAACAAATTCGTTTTTTTTATTTAGATAAAATAAAATCCGTCGGTTGACGGGTCTCCGTAGCTTGCTGTCCAATTTTTTTTTTCTGCGACCTAAGGCCAAGAGTGGCTTTGAGTGTTGCTATTGATTCATTTCCTGATCAGAGGCCGATTCGTCACGCCGTTTTCCACACCAGCCCTCTTGTTCCCACCACGTGTTTTTATCTCGCGCCCGGCATAGCCGCTTCTTGAGCCAGCGTGCTGAGAGCCGTCGATAGCAGAAACGTTTTCTCTCCTTTTTTGATTGCGATTCCATCCTTTTTTAGTTTTGGCCGTCGGTCATCGTCCCTTAGAGCAACATGTCCTGGCACTGCGCAACGTGATTGTTCGTCAACAATGTAACTCCGCATGCTTTTAGTTTTTTTTCGGTAAAGTCACGTAGGTAAAAATTTAAATAAATAATAAAATAATAGAAGTAATAATAGAAATAAAATAATAGATCACGACGTTTCGGAGGCAACACAAGCTTCCGTCTTCAAGTACTTGATACAGAAATTGTGCTGTGACGGTTACACTTGAAGACAGAAGCTTGTGTTGCCTCCGAAACGTCGTGATCTATTATTTTATTTCTATTATTACTTCTATTATTTTATTTTTTTATTTTATTTTTACCTACGTGACTTTACCGAAAAAACCTAAGAGTATGAATCCTTGCAGTCACGAAAGCTGCAAATCTAGAAGTAACTCCGCATGTTTTTCTTATCCCTGCCCATCCCTTTTATATATGGGTGTAATTTCCAGCGTGCATGCTATCTGTGCTTCTTTGCGCAATTCTCAGCATTTGTCACCGTCCAATACTGACATCTAACTTTTTTTGTGCTCGTCACATTACTTGCTTGCCACCTCCGACATCTCCCGTATGTGAAACCTTCATTTTGACATGCGGTGGACACCTCCCAGCGGAATTGTGCCTTCCAACATGCGGCCACCCTAAATGTGGCCAAGAGGCACTCTGAAGAGACCTCCGCAGTAGTTCTGCAGTGCCAACTTCCAAGGCTTGGTTCGTGAACTGCGTGGTGTGCCGCTCGTGGCGATTTTAATATATATTTTTTAGCTTATCAGCCCTCCACAAGGTCGGCTATTGATGATGGGTGGTGAATTGTACAAACGGGACCTCGTGTGTACCCTGCTCAAGGTCGAGCTGGCTCTGCGCCGCCGTCGGCGTTGAAGTGATGCCAGCTGTGCAGCGTGAAGGGGTCCAGGGTTTGGCGGTGACGATGCCGTACAGTTGTTTTGCGTACGCCTTGAAGGCTGCAATCGCTCGGATCGGTGTAACCAAACTCTGTTGGAACGTGACTTTTTGTTAATCCTTTAAATAAGTTAATTTTCACACTCCCGCGTGCGTGTGCACATGTCATGGGCCTCCCCTAGGTCAACTCGGCCTAAAGTTAGTACTTTGTGCAGTGTGTAGTGTAAAACATCGCCACTAGGGAGGCAAAGTCGGCCAGGCGTGGTGGTGCTGGTCACCCCACACACCCCCTGATGTGTACCGTGCAAGCCTTCGTAGAGGTGCTCGCTAACAGCACTTGCCCCAAAAGTCTGTTAAGGCTATGCGGGGTTGAGGGAGGGGGGGTGGGCCTTTGTCTTTGTGCGCGCGCGTGTGTGCCCGTGTCTGTACCAACTTTGATTCCCGGCCACGGATAAAGTCGGTGCCCGGCCATATCAGAACCGGTCCGGGATATCCCTCTTCAAAGGTGACCTCGGCTTTAAACGAGTGCACGGTGTGGCGCGGAATCAACATCGACCCTGGGGAGACGCAACTGGTCGTGCCTACAGTGATGGTACTGCCCCCTCACTCCGTGTGTCGTCACGGCCTCGGTAAGCGCCACCGGCACGTGCCCTGACATGTCGATATGTCCCCCTGCCCGTTGCGCCCCACAGAAAAGAACGTCCCAAAGTCTTGCCGAACATTCTGTCAAACATCGGGAACTCGCCCATGGTTCGCATCAACAACATCGGCAAGACCTATGGACTCAAGTGTGAAATTTGTGAGTTGAAGCTGCCCCCGTCAAGCCCCCCGGTCATTTTCAGAGTAAAGTTTTTGTTGTTGTTGTGGGTTAGATCGTGTAAAGCAATACACGTGTTGTTAAACCCGCCGCCACCACCCGACACGGCCAAATTAGTAAATTTTCGTCACATAAACAAAACGTGCCAACTGCTAAACAAGATGTTCCGCCTCCAAACGATAATCCAGCGAAAAACGTTTAAAAAAAAAAAAAGTTTATGATCGGTGCATTACCGTTGTTTATTATTAATATCCTGACGATTTGCCCCCCCCCCCCCCCCCCCCCCCCGTCACAGTGGCCAAATGCGAGTTCTTCAACTCGGGCGGCAGCGTGAAGGACCGCATCGCCCTGCGCATGGTGGAGGACGCGGAGCGCGATGGCCTCCTCCAGCCCGGGGACACCATCATCGAGCCCACGTCCGGCAACACCGGTATGCCGCCCCACCTCCCTTCGTCGTGCACGCACAAAGACAAAGATCCCCCGTATAGCCTTAACAGACTGTAAGGGCAAGTGCTGTTAGCGAGCACCTATGAAGGCCGGCACGGCACACGAGGGTGTGGGTGGCCAACACCACGCCCGGCCGCCTTTGTCTCCCTGGCGGTGATGTTTACACATTGCACCAGGTACTCATTTGAGGCTGAGTTGACTTAGGGGAGGCCCTGGACCGGTTCAGATAATCGTCACCGGTGTTAGCCGTGAGCGAGAATCGAACTCGGGTCGCCAGGTTCGTAGTGCAGCACGCTAACCGCAACACTACCGCACGCTCTGTGTGTGTGTGTGTGTACGGGCCGCGGCGCGAGTGTGCAGGTCAGTGCAAGATGTAGCCCCGTACACGCAAAGACTCGGACTGTTGTGGCAAGTGTTGTTCGCGAGCAGCGTCTAATGAAGGCCGGCAATGGTGCGCACGCACGATGGGGAGGGCGGGGTGTGTGACCGGCGCCGCTCCCCGGTCACCTTTCGTCTCCCCGGTGGCGATGTTGACTACGCACCGCTGAGTGGGAGCTAAGAGGGAGGCCCAGGACCGGCTCTGATAATCCTTGCTGGTTTTTGGCCACAAGCGGGAGGTCGCGTAACAGACCCTCCACGGGATGACCGACATAACTGGCGGTTGCACCGCCCGGGCTCCCCACTCCCACCAAAACTCTCGCTGCGTTTTTAGCCTCTCGTCTGCGTTCCGTGGCGTCCTTCACGAGCACCCGCCACCTCCTCCTCCTCCAGAGAGGCCGAACTTGACACCCAGTGGCTGGCACAGATTCTCGCGCATGCGCAGGCACCAGCCACACCGATGCCGAGGGTGTTGTGGGGGCCCAGCCAGTTTTAATCGATCTTGTGAACCGCTGCCGGCAGGGATCGGGCTGGCCCTGGCCGCTGCCGTCAAGGGCTACCGCTGCATCATCGTCATGCCGGAGAAGATGAGCGCCGAGAAGGTGGGTGCAACGCCACGAGGTGGGGGGTCCCGTGTGTCGTGAGCCCGATGGTCGCGCAAGTTGTAGCGCGTCGCGTTTTAGTTTTATAATTTTATTTTCATTATTTAATTATTTCCCTTCTACGTGACTTTACCGAAAGAACCAAGAAGATGAATCCCTGCAGTCCCGACAGCTTTAAATCGAAAAAAAAAAGTTCATAGTTTAAGTTTGGTAAAGGCTACACCAGGGGGGACCCTTTGTCGTTGTGTGTAGGTGGACGTGCTGCGTGCACTGGGAGCGGAGATCGTCCGCACGCCAACGAGCGCGAGCTTCGACTCCCCCGAGTCTCACGTGGGCGTCGCCTGGAGACTCAAACACGAGATCCCCAACGCCCACATCCTGGACCAGGTGAGACGCTCGCCACCTCCTCACCACCTCCTCGCCACCTCCTCACCACCTCCTCGCCACCCTCACCACCTCCCTCCACGCCTCGATGCGACGAGTGGTCCATGGCATCGTTGCACGGCCACGCTTCTTGGCTGTAACTTCATGGTCTTTACTCTTTGGTTGTTTCGGTGAAGTCACGTAGGTTAAAAGAAAACAAATGAAATTGCGACGTTTCGGAGGCAACACAAGCTTCCGTCTTTAGGTGGAACCGTCGCAGCAAAATTACTGTATCGAGTGATGCAGTAATTTTGCTGAAGACGGAAGCTTGTGTTGCCTCCGAAACGTCGTGATTTAATGTATTTGTTTTCTTTTAACCTACGTGACTTCACCGAAAAAAACAAAGAGTGTGGATCCTTACAGTCACGAAAACTTCAAATCTAGAATTCATGATCTTTGTTGTTGTCGTTCACAAAGCTTTAGGATCTCGTGGCTCCACCGACCAAGGCCGAAGACACGAACCTTACAACACTCTTTGGTTATTTCGGTAAAGTCACGTATAAAGATAAAATAACAAATTAAATACGAGCATACGACGTTTCGATTGCAACACAAGCCTTCATCATCAGGTATAAATGAAATGGAAACACAATTCTAGTATACTTAGAAATGTAATGTAATACAACAGAGAGTCGGATAACATAACAGTCAACACCCTACCTGGTTGATTACGTTCTTCCTGAGAATGCTAAATTTGAGAGAGAGATAAAACACAGAACCAGAGACATATAGACAGACATATAAGTAGAGACAGATATCACAGAGCATTCTCAGGAAGAACGTAATCAACCAGGTATGGTCTTGACTGTTATGTTATCCGACTCTCTGTTGCATTACATTACATTTCTAAGTATACTAGATTTGTGTTTTTATTTCATTTTTACCTGATGATGATTGCTTTTGTTGCAATCGAAACGTCGTATGCTAGTATTTAATTTATTCTTTTCTCTTTATACGTGACTTTACCGAAAGAACCAAAGAGTAATTCCTGCAGTCACGAAAGCTCCAAATTAACCTTACAAAACGAGAACCGTTTTGTTCCGTTCATCTTGCGAGTTCATTCAATAGGCTCCCGCGAACAGCGCTGCTGCGGCTCTAACGGAGCGGACTGTGTTTGGCCCCGTTGCGTGCTGTGCGTGCGTTTTTTCAGTATCGCAACCCCGGGAACCCACTCGCGCACTACGACATCACTGCCGAGGAGATCTTGGAGCAGTGCGATGGTGAGTGGCCGCGTGGTTGCCTTGGAGATGCCAGTTCACAGAGCGAGCCAATTACTTCTTCACGCGTGTTGCAGCCTTCGTTTCACCAGTCTAAGTTTTTTTTTTGGAATATCTATCTTTCGGGATGTTGCCGTACCATAGCCTTGGCAAGAGTGGGTATCTCCTTGCCTGAAGAAACACGTTCCTTCGGAGCGGGCAGGTAGGAACTTGGTTGGACAGCGCATTCGTGCGGTCCGTGTCACGCGGCGCAAGCTGCGTGGGGCGGCGCGTCACGTGGTGCTGAGCCCGCCCGAAATACAAATCGAGGGCGTGGCTATGCACGACAGACAGACAGACAAATAATCCCTGGTGGGCAGTGTGGAACCTGTTATTCCTACCTGTATAATGTGCTTTTTTCCACTCCTGCCATACAGTCTCAATGTAGCATAGGGAGCTATATGCGATGGTGGAGAGATGTGAACTACCTCGCCTGGTATACAGGAGGTCGTGGGTTCAATCCTGACGCCTGCTGTATATTTGGAGTTTGCATGTTCTCCCCGTGGTCGCGTGGATTTATCTCCGGATCTCCGGTTTTTCCCTCCACATTTCAGAAACGCGCTTTAGACTATTTTGGCTGCTGTTATAAATTTCCACGCGATAAGCCGATTTGTTGAGCGATCATTTGTGATAGCCAGGTCACTTCTGAAAAAGAGCTACATAGCTTGGTGGGGACCCCTTACCTGGTAAAATAAAAAAAATAGTTTAATAGTTTTACTGTCGCTGGATTGTGTGTGACGCATTGCTGTGGCCTGGCGGGCACAGACCGCGATGATGGTTGACGGTAATGATTTTGATTTAATGATGAGGTGTTCATGTCGACCCAGGCCGTGTGGATATGCTGATTGCTGGCGCTGGGACTGGCGGCACCATTTCTGGCCTTGCGCGGAAGTTAAAGGAGAAGTGCCCAAACTGCAAGGTGACGATGAGGATGATGATGATGAAATAAGTTCGATGAATGATTAGGAAAATCAACATGTGTACTGCAAGCCTCTGCTTAACGTGGGGGTTTCATTCCAGAAGATGGCTGTGTAAAGCGAATTTGCGTTTTAAGATGGAGTAATTTTTCCGTCAAGAATAACGGTGAACGTCGACGTGCCGTTCCAGCCTATTATTTTTCCATTGTGTTCATTTGACAGTACATTGTTTTTTTTAACGTGCTGTGTTTTTACACGGCGTTTCTACAAATATTCTACGTGTGACGGACATTCATTTAAATATTAAGTCAGAACGCGAGAGAGATGTGGCGAGTGAAAAAATTAACCCGTAAAAACAAAGTTTTTCACTATAAATCCTTTATATGCGTGGCGGCTAGAGTCCTCTCGTCCTCTGGTTTGAGATGGCTGCCACCTATGGGTCCGATGAATGCCTGCCACCATTAAGCAATTGGTAATTAAATATAATTTATTTTTTCATAAAAAGTGTAAAATTTTGGAAAAAATATTTTTTACGAAAATACATTGTCACGCACAACGAGTCTGTGTGCAAAATGTCAGCTCGATTGGATCACGGGAAGTGGGTTAAAAAACGACCGAAAGATTTGCACGGTCGCAAGCCAGCAAGTGAACTTATATAAAGGATTTAAAAAGATGAGCGAGGTCAACACGTGACGCAGTGGTCGCAGGCGCGGGGGTGATGGTTTGGAGAATCCGGTGCTGATGAATGGGTGGGTGGGGAATCCCTGCCACAGATCGTGGGCGTGGACCCAGAGGGGTCGATCCTGGCCCTGCCCGACGAGCTGAACAGGACGGAGAAGACAGCGTACGAGGTGGAGGGCATCGGATACGACTTCGTTCCCACGGTCCTCGACAGAACGGTAATGCCGCCCCGCCCGCAAGTCGCCGAGCTTGCACTCCCGCCGTCGTCATCGTCATCACCGTTGCTGCCCTCGCCACTAATTATTGCTACTACCACCGCTGTAATCGTTGCCACCGCCGCCACGACTAGCAGCAACCGCCGATCGCCATCGCCACCCACGCCATCGTCGTGATTCAAATGTCCTCGCCACCAATTACCACCGCCAACACGAGCAGCCACCACCAAGCACCGCAGTAGTCGTCACCAGCCACACTCGTGACATTGTCCCTGACCACCCCCCCCCTCCTCGTAACGCTGCTCTCCCCGTCGCCGCTGCATGCGGGGCAGGTGGTGGACGTGTGGTACAAGAGCACGGACGAGACCTCCTTCCTCATGGCGAGACGCCTCATCCGTGAGGAGGGCCTGCTATGCGGTGAGACGACCAACCGCCATCATCATCATCATCACCACCAACACCTCCATCATCACTGACATCGCCTACTGCCTTGATGGCGTTGTCGCCACCGTAACCACCGGTTTGATGGCATCACTGACGCCATCATCACGACCGCCATCATCACGAACGCCATCGCAGGCATCGCTTGACGACAATGCACCACAATCAGTGACACGGCCACGAAAATGATGACTTGTGATGATCATGATGACTACAGATATACGAATGATCACGGTGATACTGATGATGATGACAATACCAATGGTATTGCTGATGACAATGACAACGATGTTATATAATTATGAGAACTACTTGGCCTGTGGCCGTATCTGTGGCACAAGAACGATGCTGCCTGCTGTGAGTATTTAATTCTTCTTTGCCTTTGAAATGACCTTGCCTTTGACATGGCTTTCACATGACCTTGAATCAGGAAGAGAAGTTTAACCTCTGTAGGCCCCGCCGCCATCTGTATGTCCCACCCCCTTTTAGTGGTGGGCGGAGACTGTGCGGGTGGAGAGGCTTCGGTAACGACCAGAATCCCTCTTAGAATGGCGATAAGGTGATTCTGATGATGGTAGCGATGGTGGCGCAGGTGACGGTGATACTTTATCATCATTACTACTTCTAGTCGTCCGGAGCAAGACGACGATGACCATGATTTATGACGATTACTACGGTGGCGGCGATTTACGACGACGACGACAGCCGTGATGACAACGACGACGGTCGTGATCACGACGACGACGGCCATGATGATGACGATGACGGCCATGATGATGACGACGACGGCCATGATGATGACGACGACGGCCATGATGATGACGACGACGACTTGTTGTGGGGTGATGGCGGCAGGCGGGAGTTCGGGGTCGGCGATGGCGGCGGCGGTGGAAGCTGCGAAGTCGCTGCGCGAAGGTCAACGCTGCGTCGTCCTCCTGCCAGACTCGATCCGCAACTACATGTGAGTCCACGCGGGGACGTGCAGGGGAACCCCGTACAACCCCCCCCCCCCCCGACTCCCTGTGTGCCCATACAGACTGTTATGGCAATTGCTAAGACGTGAAATGCAATGTGCTTCACGAAACCATTTCATTTGAGAGAGTCTCTTTTTTATGTGAGATCACGAACCGTGACACTACCATAGTAATGGGTTTTTACCCTTTTTTCTGGCACCAAAACTGACACCTTTATACGAGGGATCATGTTTGCAATAACCACAACACAAGCAGTCAAAATGCAAACAAAAAGAGACAACTCTGATAATGATATGCACTGTCCTTGAAGTTGACTGGTCCACACCCGAGAGACGGCTTTTGGCGTCATCTGGTCCAACGCCAGTGGAGACTAGGCTCTAAGAAAAGCCATCTTGGGTGTGGACCAATCAGTTTCAAGGACAGTGCAAATCATTATCAGAGTTGTCTCTTTTTGTTGGCATTTTGACTGCTTGTGTTGTGGTTATTGCAAACATGATCCCTTGTATAAAGGTATCAGTTTTGTTGCCAGAAAAAAGGGTAAAAACCTATAACTATATCTTGCTAATGGCAAAGGAGGTCTCGTAACGTGACACTACCGCTTCCCAAAACCGTTCCCTACGAGCAACCTACGCACGAATTAAATAGTATATGTTCAAAGATGCCATGGCTGGAAAGCGATTTTATTTTTTAACCTTCAAACTTTTTGCAATCTTCTAGGTCGCGCGTAACTCGGGCACGCACGCTGCCAACGTTCAACGTGGCTTTTGAGTCTTTTTCTTTTTAAATCCTTTATATTAAGTTCTCTTGCTTGCTTAGGACCGTGCAAATCTTTCGGTCGTTTTTTAACCCACTTCCCGTGATCCAATCGAGCTGACATTTTGCACACAGACTCGTTGTGCGTGACAATGCATTTTCGTGAAAAAAGAATTTCCAAAATTTTACACCGTTTAGGGTTAATTTTTTCTGAGCGCACTTCAAGCTCCGTGTGTCCATTTGCGTCACAGGTCCAAGTTTCTCAGCGACCATTGGATGGCGCAGAAGGGATTCCTCCCTGAAGAAGACTACCTGGTGAACAAGCCTTGGTGAGAGAACTTGCACCCACCCTCCGCTCTCCTAACGCCTCCTAAGATTCATACTCTTAGGTTTTTCGGTAAAGCCGCGTAGGTAAAAAATAATACAAATAATAGAAATAATAATAGAAATAAAATAAAAAAAATCACGGCGTTTCGGAGGCAACACAAGTCTCCGTCATCAGGTGGGACCATCACAGCTAGGATTTACTGTCTCAAGTGAGGCAAAATTCCAAGCGTCAAGCTCTTAAATACAAGTTTAAGGGGGGAGGGAAGGGGGAGGGGCTTATCTGAATGTGGCAGCCAATGAGTGGAACGTGTTGGGGGGTGGGCGGGGCTAAAAGAGAACAGTTGGTGCAACTTGTTGATGTTTTACCCGATGTTGGTTGACAATCCAAATACAAAAAAGGAGAGGAGAGTGCTGTTAAGATTAAGATTGTTCGAGAAGTTGTTGAGCCAGCTGGCTAGGATTGGGCAAAAAAAAACTCGCCCACCCAGTCTCTGTGTAATCTCTACAAGTCTCTATTGTATTTATGTAATGTCAAACTTCTTCCGTCACCGTAACGTAGCCACACCGTGATAATCGGGGATTGCGGGGTGGGGGAGACAAGAAGAGACTGAATTTCGATTTAAAGCTTTCGTGACTGCAGGGATTCATCTTCTTGGTTCTTTCGGTAAAGTCACGTAGAATGGAAATAATAAAATAATAAAATAAAACATAATAAAATATATTATTTTATTATGTTTTATTTTTATTATTTTATTATGTTTTATTTTTATTATTTTATTATTTCCATTCTACGTGACTTTACCGAAAGAACCAAGAAGATGAATAAAAATAAAACATAATAAAATAATATCTTTTATTATGTTTTATTTTATTATTTATTATTTACATTCTACGTGACTTTACTGAAAGAACCAAGAAGAAGAAGAGACTGATCACAAAAAGCAGTTCTAACGAAATTACTTTTCAATCGAGATTGTTAAAAAGGCCGTATAGCTCCAGTGGCTTCCTAATATCACGTGGATTAAAAAAAAATACTTTTAGAGACAAATTTGGGGAAGAGGTGGGTGTTGTGGTGTTATTTCCCGATTTGTTGAAATGACATTCGTAGCTAATTGGGTCCTACGGATGGGGGGGGACCCCTCCTCGTTTTAGTTTTATCGAGTCCTTTTTGTTTCGTTACCACGCGCAAATTGTGATTGTCTTATCTCTGGGGCTCGTGCCCCCCCCCCCCCCTCCCGCCCACACGCAGGTGGTGGGACATGAAGGTTCAAGATTTGTGTCTCTCCGCGCCGCTCACCGTCCTGCCGACGGTCAGCTGCCAGGAGACGATGACGCTCTTGCGCGAGAAGGGATACGACCAGGTGCCCGTGGTGAACAGCGCAGGGTAATAATGATGATACAAATTTCATTTTGTACAGCGTCATTTCGTGCAATTGCATCCCACACACACACACGCTGCGCATCAATTATCCAGTTGGGTACAAAAAAATACACGAAAAAAACCCCCACTACTTGGCAAATAAATAAATTAATTGATGCAAAAATAGCGAGGTGGAAAAAAGGGCACGAAACCAAAAAAAATTATCGCAGAGAAAATCTATTTAAAATAAATAAATCGGTTCGGTCTCCATACCCCAGACCACAGGGTGAGCTCCACTTTCCTCTGGCGTGGGGCCCCAGCTTATCCATAAGCGAGCGGCAAGTGCAGTCGTTTATCATGGGCGAGGATGAAGGTGGGGGGGGGGAAACGTTACAGCCACGTGGTGAGGCCTTCCAACTTGGAAGTCGCCCGCAAGCAATTTTATTCATCAACGCAGCTGCAAGCATCCTAGCTGCAGTACACGGTTACGAGAGGAGAGAGAGGCATATTTAGTGCCCTTGCAACACTGTGATTTGAATGCGATCAGTCGGCAGCGAAACTTGAGCCCCGATTTATTTTTCCCATTTTTGTTTTATATTGTGTGGGAACGCGTGGAGGACTTGGAATTTACATCGCAGCATTCCCAATCTTTAAGTCCCTCTCCTCCCGTCATTACGCCACTCGGCTGAGTTGCCAGCAGATGGCAGCACGGCATCATTTAAATGAAATTTCCCCACTTGCAAGTGAAAGTCACGTGGTTCAGGTTGCTGCTATTAACGCCATGGTCCACCAGGTGGCGGCAGTGGCATGCAGGGTTTTGTGTCGTGACCAAATCGGTGCTTTTGTGCGCTTCTAACGGTTGCGTTTTCACCCTTAAAACCCCATTTTTATCAAATTAAACAATCGACTTCACTCCAACCTACTGCTGGTCCTCTCCTTTAAAACAATCCCCATCCCTTCTCCCTCCCTCACCCATCCTACTGCTACTCCCTAACCCCGCCCCCCCCCCCAGATGCGATCAGGCCTATCCCAACCCCATCCCAACCCCAATCACCTCCCCAACCACTATCACTACCCCAACCTACCCCAACCCCTACTGCTACTCCCTGCCGGCCATGGGTTTGTTTTTGTACCATACTTCACCAACCCTGGTGGTCGGTGTGGGTTAGTGACGTGCGGCCCAGGACCTAAATTCGGATCTCACTCGGCACTGATGATTGCTGGTCTCCCCTGCCACGCCACACCCCCACGCACACAAACACACGTGCCACATGCACCGACAGTACCTGTCTACCAAGCCCAGTAGATGTGGTGTGGCCGTGCCAAGCGGCGTGGTGATGCCACCATGCGGGGGAGCGCTGGTTTAGACGGACGATGTGTGTCCGTGCGTGTCTTTCTTTCAGGCTGGTGCTGGGCATGGTGACTCTTGGTAACATGCTGTCCTGCACGCTCGCTGGCAAGGTCAAACCTTCCGACCCCGTCTCCAAGATTCTCTACAAGCAATTCAAGCAGGTGTGTGTGTGCCCTCCTCCCGCCAGCCCGGCCGAGACGCTCCGTTAACATTTTAACGTCGTACTCGGATTGCAAATGTTGTGGCTTGGCTCTCCAACACACTGGTGTGCTGTACTAGTAACGAATTGGCATGTTCTGTTTACGTGACAAACCTTACTTATTGGCTGTGTCGGGTGGTGGCGGGTTTGACAACACATCTTTACGTGATCCGACCCAAAAAACCTCTAATGGATAACATTTTTACGTGAGTTTCTGGGAGTTTTTGTGGTTTTCTTTTCGTAAGAATACAATTGCATCGTGGTATGTTTGAAGTCGAAATGATGGGTTCAAAATAAGTTGGGTAAATAATGAATTATTAATATTGTCTGTATTGAGATCTTATAATGAAATGTGTACATATTACAAATTATTTGTACAAGATTTAAGATTAAAATAGTTTTTCAATGCACACACCTTTATTTGCACTCAAAAGTAGAAACGTTATTTTGACCCCAGAATTAATTAAATTTGATGTGCTGAATAAAAGTGGGTGGTTTCCTTTTCATATGTTTCAATTAGCTTTTTGCAAGCCATCCACTTTCATTGAGCACGTGCAATTTGATCAGTTCTGTGGTCAAAATAATGTATTTTCTTTCTGAATGCAAATAAAAGTGTACGCATTGAAAAACTCTACCTAATTTATTTGAATGTTAATCTTCTGAAAATTATTTGTTATTATAGATATTCATTATAAAATCTCATCCAGACAACCACAGTTTATTGTTTGGATAATGCTAATACATTTGAAATGGTTAAATAAAAAATGTGAATACAAAAAGAAGAGGCCCAGAATCGGCAGGACCTGGACCGGTTCTTTTAAATTAATTATTTAATCGTCACACGAGACGACAATGAGTCTGCAAAATTTCAGCTCGTTAGACTTGGTCAATCTGACGATAGATATTAGGCGTCAAAGATTTTGAAATAAGATAAACGGACAACAGGGCAAGTGAAATAAAAGTGTGGTAATAATAAAAAGTTAGGAAAATCGTGCACACGCGTGGATCATGTGACACCTCCCAACACGTGAACCCATTGACACGGACTGTGGCCCATGCTTTCCTCCTGCGGCCATTCACAGATCACGCTGAAGGACAACCTGGGCAAGCTGTCGCGCATCCTGGAGACGGATCACTTTGCGCTGGTGGTTCACGACCAGATTCAGTGTAAGACATTTGGTACATGTATACGCTTTTTTAATTCCTTCACACAGGAAGACACAAACAGCCTTCACAGGCTCTGGGGGGGGGCGGGGGGGGGGTGGGGAAGTGCACCTAATGAAGGCTGGCACGGCACACGAGTGCTGGGTCTGTGGCTAGAATGATGCCTTTCCGCCTTTGTCTTCCCAGTGCTGATGTTTTGACGCCGCACCAGATTTTCTATTTTTAAGGCAGAGTCGACCTAGAGGGGGGGGGGTAATGCTCCTGGACTCGATTCAAATATTTGCCACCGTTATTGATCATGAGCAGGAATCCAACTCGGGGGTGCAGTGTGCATTGCTCAGTACACCAACCACTGCACTGAACTCGGGTGAACTCAGGTCTCCGAATTCACAACGCAGCGTTGTGAATTCGGGGACCCGAGTTCAATTCCCGACCCATGGCTAACATCGGTGGCGAGTGATATCCGAATCTGTCCTCGCCCCAACACCACCATCACCCACCCCATCTCCCGTCACCAACCTCCATTGACCAGCATGGTGAAGTATGGTCGGACAACTCGCGTTACTCCTCCAACCATACAATTAGATGGGGGAGATGATGGGTCTCCTCCATGTATTTGTCTCTTCACGTAAAAACTAAGAAATAAAGTGTTCTCTTGCGCAACCCATCGGCAACAACAGCCTCCTGGGAGTGAATCGTTTTACCGGTGTTGATTCAGCCCAAGCAAACTGTGGGACTGGTGCTTGAGATAAAATGTGTTATCGGTAGAGTTGGGCTTGCTTGCATCAATGATGGTGAACTGCCAGATTTTTTAGGAGAGGTCCCCCATCTCGTTTTTAAGATATGGGGGTCCTCGTTAGTGATGCAGTGTTTTGGAGGCCTTCGTACGGCTGTAAAATGGATTCAAGTTATCAAGAATCTTCTGAGCATGTGATGAATTGCTGCATCGTAGCGAATCAGCCAGCGCTGGGATAATCCACTGTGTCGCGATTGTCTCCACTCAAACGCGCTCGCCTCTTGTCCGTACGCATATTGAACTCCTTTTGCACCGAACGTAGCCAACCGTGTTAATCGGAGGTCGTGGGGGAAATGGCAACAAACTAAACACACAAAGCAGTTGTGAAGAATTGAGTTTGTCAATCTAGACGATTGTTAAAGTGCATAGCTCCAGTGGCTTCCCAATAACTAACTTTTTAAACCCGCGGCAGAAATGCCTCTCATTCCACCATGACAGCGGTTCTAGATTTGAAGCTTTCGTGACTGCAAGGATTCATATTCTTAGTTCTTTCGGTAAAGTCACGTAGGTAAAAAAATAAATCAAAATTTTATTTTTATTAATTTTGATTTCATTTTTTACCTACTTGACTTTACCGAAAGAACTAAGAGCATGACAGCGGTGTTGATGCCTGGTCCTCTGTCGCAGATCATGGCCAGGGCCACTCGCAGAAGCAGAACATGGTGTTCGGGATCGTGACGGCCATCGACCTGCTCAACTACGTGACGACGCGCGAGAAGGAGACCCAGGTCATCGGAGTCTGAGCCGCGACAGGGTCCCCAGGCCACGACTCGCTCGGCCGCCCGCCCGCCGTGTGACGTGCGCTGCCTGTGCGTCGCTACCGTCTGTGCGTGTCTGGTGGTATTATTGCCGCTGCGTCCGTGTGTGTCCGTGAGTGTGTCCGTGTGTGTCTCTCTGCGTCCGTGTTCATCTGTGTTGTGTCGTCCGGTAGTGCTGTGTGTGTGTGTGTCTGGAGGTATTATTGCCAGTGTGTTTGTGTGTTCGTCTGGTAGCATTATACTGTCTCTGTGTCTGGTGGCATTATACTGTGTCTGTTGTGTCTGGTGGCAATGTGCTGCGTGTGTCTCCGTCTCAGAAAATGGTTAATTGTGTTCGTGTGTGCACATTTGTGAGATGATGAGAGGAGTAGCAGCATCGTGGTTGGCACACTGCACTCAATTTCTGGTGACCAGAGTTAAATTCCCAGCCGTGGCTGACGACCTCGGTGGAGTGTTTTATCTCAACTGGTCCTGGGCCCCTCCCCAAAGTCAACTCGGCCCCAAATGAGCGCCCGAGTTATGGTGCGCGTGCGTGAACATCGCCAAAGTGGCCAGGCACGGTACTGCTGGCCACACACTACCTGCTTGTGTGCCGTGCCGGCCTTTTAATAGCCGCTCGCCAACGGAAATTTTACCCACGTGGTTTGTAAGGCTCCGCGGGGAGGAGGGGGGGGGGATCTAAGTAACGTGTGCGTGCGTGTAGTTGCGTGTTGCGTTCCTGACGCCTGGTGTTGTTGAAGTTTGTTCACGAATCGTTTTTTCCTAAACGCCGATCGGAGTGTTGTGACGCTTGTCAAGCGGTTCGCGTGCAAGTTGCCAGCGGCGTTGTCACTTTATCAGCGACTCGCTCGGAAATGTTTGGCGAGTGGAAACATCTTCTGGCGATGGCTTTTCGCAGTCCCCCTCCGTGTTGTGGCAGGTATGGTAAAAGCGATGTTTTTTTTTGAGAGAGAGAACGTACGTTTACGAAGTTTAAACTTGCCGCTAGTCTCGGCGTGCCTCCTCGCATCTCCTCTGTAACTTATGGAGCAACGTGTTCACGGAGTTGCTCTCCATCAAACCACATTTTGATTTATTCGATTGCCAAAGCCTTGTTTTCCGTGCTAATCAATGTCTTCTTCAAACCGGTAGACGACGGATGTGTCGGGTCAAATTCCCTGTTAAACAGTACGATGGCATAAAAAAAATGAGACTGTGATTTTTTTATAATTATTAGATTTTAGGTTTCCGACTTTTAAGGTATTGAGTAGCCACTGCAGGTATATGGGTGGGAAGAGTCGGCGCTGACATTAGTGGGTGGTACACAACTGCTGAATTTGGCCAGTGGTGGCGGAGTGATTGTGCGTGCCTCGGCAGACACTTGCAACCAACTCGCCCTCCACGCAAATACACAATCTCACGTCTGCTTGCTTTGGCGAGCAAGCGGTAAAGGCCCTCCGGATTATGTATTCAAATCGGTTCCGTAATACGATTTTCGATTTTTTTATTTTTTGACCAGCTCCGGTCTCAACGCCAGCAGCGCCGGGCAATCCCGCATTGATATTCGTGCCAGGCCGATCTGCCTGGCACACGGTGGGGCTCGTGTGCACGTGTGTGTGGCCGAGCATCGGGCCAGCCTCGGGAGATGGAGATGCATGTGAGCACTGTGCTGACTGCGACGTCCGTCTCTCTCCGTGTGTTCGCGTATCCGAACTTCCTGCGCACCGCGCGCGGCCGACCGTGCCGATCGGACGGACGACAAACCAAACGCAAAGAAAGCAGCAGTTGGAAGGAAATGAGTTTGCAATCTGGATTTTAAAAGTGCGTAGCCTCCGGTGGTAATCTCCCTGAGACATCGGGGGTTGTAGGGCACGCTGCGGGCTGTGCATGTGGAGTCGTGCTACTGGGGATTTTTATGGCATTGATGATGAAATGTTTACTCTTGAAACGACCGTACATTTACCGTAGTGCTTTCTTGCGTTCGAGCTGGACCATCTGTCCATTGTGTGTAAGCAAAGTGTGTGGCCAATAGGTTAGTGCCTCGAATTGTTTCGTCGTTTTTCAATGTGAGATCGGAATAAGTGAAGTTTTTCCAGTAATTCAGTTGAAGGTTTTTTTTTTGTTCAAGCTAATAACTGCACAGAATAAGTCTCTTAATTTAATTGTTATTTTCTTTTAGTCTTCCCGGACATCTGTATTGCAATTTTAAATAAAGGATTTGTTGGTGGTAGCGATGACGTTTTTGTGTCGGTGTCCTCTTCATTTATCACTTATCGGCCACGATCAATCCGCTGCTAGGATGAAGGCCTCGCCAACCTCTGGGTGTCGGCAACGCAGCGGATGTCCAGGACTGATTCCGATTATTCGGCACCGAAGTTGACCGGCCGTCGCTGGGAAATCGAAGCGTGGCGACATCCGTCTGCACCACCTCTGCAATATTTTTTCTGCAATATTTTGCTGTCTTTTCTTGGATTTTCTGTTTGCACTTGGTCACATTCACTTTAAGATGTTTTTTGTTCATGTTTTTTGTTTGTTGCGGTTGCACCCGATTCAAGAGCCGAATGGCTCGCAGGGCTACACCTAATACATGAACTTGAACTTGAACCTCCAGCTCGTGAAACTAACCATCTTCCTGGGCAGTGGGTCAACCCTCTTGCAGCCTGACCGACCTAAATGACCTCTCGACACGAAACTAAAAACCTAACTTTTTAATTTGACTAGGTAAGGCCCACTGAGCTGTATAGCTTGTTTGCATGCTCGCCACAAGCACTCTGTGTGGTTAACGCGAACTTGATTCCTTGCAAAAGGTTTCTATTTGGTGTTTGAACATCTTAACACCTGTTTTATTACCGGTAAAAGCTATTTTTTAAATCCTTTACATTAAGTTCGCTTGCTTGCTTAGTACTGTGCAATTCTTTCGGTCGTTTTTTAACCCACTTCCCGTGATCCAATCGAGCTGACATTCTGCACACAGACTCGTTGTGCGTGACGATGCATTTTCGTGAAAAAAAAATTCCTAAATTTTACACTGTTTAGGGAATTTTTTTTAAATATTTAATTACCAATTGTTTAATGCTGCCAGATAATCATCTGACCCATAGGTGGCCGCCATCTCAAGCCAGAGGACGAGAGGACTCTAGCCGCCACGCATATAAAGGATTTATAGTGAAAAACTTAGTTTTTACGGGTTCTACTTGTTAATGCCTAATATAGCTTTTTTTAAAGTGATTTGGCCGCATGATAGCTCAACGAAGTGGTGGATCAGGTGGAAATTTAGAGTGGCCAAATACACTCATCGCATGTCGATTTATAAATGTGGGGGGGGGGGGGGGGGGGGGGAATAAACCAGAAGGCTCGGAGGGAAAATCCACGCAACCTCGGGGAGTGAACATGGAAACTCAATATACAGACATCGTCAGGGTTGATATCGAACGCACAACTTCCTGTATACTGGGCGAGGTGGTTAACATTTCGCCACACGTCAGGCAAGTGCCGCCCCCGTAACGCAACATTACTTCGCCCGAAATGGGGGGGGGGGGGGGTCCTGCTTTTCACAAGCGTCATCCGCGCCAGGTGTGGATTCCTTTGCCAGCTCGTCCACTCCAGCGGTGTGGGGAGGTGGCGGCGGTGTAACCATCGAGTGCGTGGTGGTGGCGTGGAGATAAAATGACACCTGGTCTCGGCAAATTCGTCGATAGATGTATTTATTACGATGCTTATTCACGCGGTTCTTTTTTTCCAAATCCCGTGTGTGCAAGCTCGCCACGCCGAGCTAGCGGTTTTTTTGTTTGTTTCGAAGGCGCGTTTTGGTGCGACGCAGAAGCAACGTTGTTGGCGAGCCGCTTACAAAAATTAAAAACTACACCCACCGACACGCCTCTACGTTCAATATACATCGATTTCCCCCGCTGCGCTGCTGACGGATATCACCGGTCATCGGTCATGGTCTATCCACTGCTGGATTAAGGCCTCCCCACAATTCGTCTTGCTCCCAGCCTGCATAGTTTAATTTTTCTCAACCAGTCGACGTGATGTGGCCGAGTTGGATTTTTGTTTTTGTTGTTACCAGTCCCAATGTATGTTTTTACTGGTAGGAACCTCCTGGTTACACCAGCCCACAGGGGATTATTGTGTCCGTCCGTCGTGCATCCAAAAATGGGAGGGGTGGGGCTGGGTGGAGAGGGGAGGGTGGGGAGGGCTGGGTGGGGAGGGGAGGGGCTGGTCACTCCGTGGTGCCCTTATAAAACTCAACGTTGAACCTACTCACGCCGGCTTGTGCCCACCCTCACAGTCGGCCATATTTGCGGAAAACACCACGCCGCCGTTGACCCTGGCCATTGACCGAGCAACCCAACGTTCCTACCAGCTCCCTCCGCAGGAATGTGTTTCTCTCTCCTGCGAGTGTGATATCACGAGCAGCCGACAACACCCAAGGTTCGTTAGCGCCCTGCTTGGGAATCTACATAAATGAGTGTGAACTCGCCGCTTGTTCTTCACCTGTTCTTCACCTGAGGACGGTTGCTTGCGTTGTGGCCGAAACGTCGTGAGAATTATTTTATTATGTTTTATTTTTATAATTTTATTATTTCCCTTCTACGTGACTTTACCGAAAGAACCAAGAAGAAGAAGAAGAAGGTACAACGAGTTTAAGTAAATGTAGTTGCTGCTCCTGCATGCAAATGTTCAGATTACCGTTCCGTTATTTTATAATTTTTGTTAAAAATGTTTCACACTTGTCATTTGAATCTGGACTTTCAGAAGGTGATATATGAGCAATCAAAAAGATGGCGTTAAGTGAAATTAAGATGACGGGTCATTTCGTGTTACTTTTGTGTCGTGCATAAATCATTCGCGAACGTCAATTGGGAAAAAAATCAGGTTTGCTAATTTTAATTCGAGTGTAAAATAAAAAAATAAAAACTAATTTCGCCATCATTCTACAAATCGGACGACGGCAAAAAAACAAATCGTACAAATTAAAGTCTGCAGAGTAACTATGTACATATTTTTTTGACAATACTGGAATTATTTTACATCCATTCGACAATCACGAAAGGGGAAAGGACTGGGATCGTCCCGAAATTCAGTTTAAAGGAAAGAATCTCCGTCTTCCGAGGTGGAGTCGCCCTGCAAAGCAAAACCACACACACGTGCAAAAGTTTAATGCTCGCCGACATAACGCGGCACGCCGCAAATACGTGGTAAACAAAACCCCGGCGACGTTGAACTTTTTTCGCACCGTACGTAGCCAACCGTGCTAATCGGAGGTGCCGATTGAGCTGAATATCGCTGTGCGGTATGTACCGCCACTGTGCATCCCACGTGCTGTCAATCCTCCCGTTGTGACAGGTGACCCAATGCGCACATTTCGCAACCCCCCCCCCCCCCCCCACTTGGCAGCTCACGCGTGGTGGGGTAGAGTGTGGCTACTTCCACCTCTTTCAAGAAGTCTGGCCGGCGTGTTGGCGTGGACCAAATACTCGCTCGAGCTCCCTCCACGGGAGACCCTTCCGCCAGCGGTGGGCAAGAGCAGGAAATAGCACGGGCTCCGCACCTTTAGCTTTGTTCCCCCCCCCCCCCCCCCCCCCTTTACCTCGTCGTCACTTTTCTCTTTGGCCGCCTCCGCCACGGCCACCGTCACCGCCGCCACCGCCTCCCCGGCGGCGCGGGCCTCGTCCGCATCCCCGCCCCGCGCCAGCACCTCCGCGGCCACTCCCGCGGCGGCCGCCACCGCCACGGCCCGGATCACCTCCTCCTCTTTCTTCTCCTCCTCCTCGCTGTCGCTGCCGCCACCGCTCTCGGCCATCAGATTCTCGGCGGCGATGGCCGCGATGCTCGCCACCGCGGCCGCTTGCGCCGCGTCCTCCTTCCTCTGCCGCTCCTCCTCCTCCGCCTTGTCCTCGTCGTCGTCGCCCTCCGACTCGGAGCTCTCCTCGTCGAGCTCGGCCAGCTCGAGGGCGGCGATGCTCGCGATGGCCGCGGCCGCCGCCCGCTCGTGGGCGTCGTTGGTGTCGTCTCCGGCCTCCGTCGCCGCCGCCGCCAGGACCGCGGCCGCCATCCCCGCGTCCACCTCGTCCCCCTCGACGGCGAGGCGCGCGGCCGCCAAGCTCGCCACGGCCGCCACGGCCGCCGCGACGGCCCGCTCCCCGGGGCTGTCGGCGTCGGCCGCCGCGGACGCCGCGGCCATCGCGACCGCCGCAGCCGCCGCATCGTCCCGGGACGCTTCGCCGCCCTCGGCCAGCGCGCGCGTGATGGTCGTGCCGAGCTGCCGGTGGTGGCGCACGGACGCCTGGCTCGCCACCAGCAGCTCGACGCTGGCGCCGCCGTCGCGGATCTTGGCGACGATGTCGGCGTGCGTGGCCTCCTGCACGTTGTGGCCGTTCACCTCCACCACCATGTCGTCGTCGTGGAGGTCGGCGAGCGCCGCCGGGCTTCCCGGCGTCACCTGCGGCCCGGGGGGGGGGGGGTTGGGTGTTTGGCGGGCGGTTTGGTGAGCGCGAGATCGAACGAACAAACACTGCACTCGCTTGCTTCACAATCAGATTCGAAGAGTATTTATTTTTCTTCTTGGTTCTTTCGGTAAAGTCACGTAGAAGGGAAGTAATAAAATAATACAAATAAAACATAATAAAATAATTCTCACATGTCTGTCTATCGACAGACGCTGTTCTTCACCTGAGGACGGCTGCTTGCGTTGTGGCCGAAACGTCGTGAGAATTGTATTTTATCATGTTTTATTTTTATTAATTTATTACTTCCCTTCTAGGTGACTTTACCGAAAGAACCAAGAAGATGAATCCCTGCAGTCACGAAAGCTTTAAATCGAAAGAGTATGTATTATACACTGGAGGAATCCGATGAGCTCTAAAGCTCTTTCCTTCCTGCCGCCAGATCTCTCGGGTGCTTCACGGTCACGTGCCCCGACCCCACCAAGATCTGCGCTCACGGTCTCGTGATCGTCATCATCACGAGCTTGGACTGCTGACTTGTCTTTCAATGACTGATCGTACTCATCGCATCTGGCTTAGCGCTTCTGCGGCCCTTTTTTGGCCAACTAATCGAACAAAGACGGTCACTGCGGCCGTCTGGAACGCGCTCTTCCTTTTGATATTAGGAAGCCACTGGAGCTCTGCAACTTTTAAATCGCCTCGATTGAAAACATTTCTTGAACTTTTTTTTTGTTCAGTTTGTTGTCCTTCCCCGCACCCTCCGATTAGCACGGTTGGCTACGTAGGGTGCAAAAGAAGTTAAAACTACAGGCATTTAAGTCTTCCCCGTGTTGCACCGGTGACGGATCCTTCAAGGACGTACCCTCGGAGGATCGTTATCTCCATTATCGTCTTCCCGTTGGTCCAATACCTCTGGGTACCACGCGGAGGCGAGTGTGTATCCTTTGTGTTGTTCACACTAAACCCCTTGCAACTTCTTCTCTGACCGCCGATGAACGGTGACCCAGCAAAATTGTGAAGTCGGGCACCCCCCAAACCACCTCCGCCCCCCCCCCCCCCAACGCAATATGCATAACAATTAGTCCTGCAAATTCGCACGGGCCTACGTGTGCATGAGCAATGAGGATCACCCCCCTCTCCGCCTTCCCGTGAATTGATCGCTCCGCGTGCGTGCCCCACCTTCTTGATGTACTGCCCCGGCTGGCCCCGAATGCCGTAGAGGTGGAAACCGAAGCCGTCGGCGCCCTTGCTGAGGTGGCGGAGGCGCGGGCGGAGGTCCTGGGCGTCCGCGGGGGACGCCGCCTTGCCAGAGACGCCGACGTCGCTTCGACCTCCACCGCCCACGGGGTTGATGCCGTGCTGGCGGGGGTCAGGCGAGCGTTCGTCATCATCAACGTCGGTCGTCAGTCAAGTTCAAGTTAATGTATTAGGTATAGCCCTGTGAGCCATTCGGCTCTTGAATCGGGTGCGACCGCAACAAACAAAAAACATGAACAAGAATACATCTTATAGTGACTATGTGCAAACAGAAAATCCAAGAAAAGACAGCAAAATATTGCAGAAAAAGCACCGTTCACCGACACTGTGTGCAAAAATCCCAGTGGGATGCAAATCAAACAACAACCACAACCACAAGACAACTTAGATTAAGGCCATCCGTCTAATTCTGTACTACAACAAACAAACATGGCCAAACCAAAAAACTTTTCGAAAATCACCAAAATAAAGCCATAAAAGCAATGAAACAGTGATCATAGGAACTGTGACCGAATTTTCACAATAAACGACGTGAACAAGTCGTCATCGTGGTGGTCGTCGGTATCGTCGATGACGTCGATAGGGTGCCACGATGGCTGGGAGATGTTAACCACCTCGCCTAGTATACAGGAGGTCGTGAGTTCGATCCAGACTGTGACCGCCTGCTGTATATTTGAAGTTTGTTTCCCTCTCTCTCTCTCTCTCATCATCATCACGGTGGCTAGGAGATGTTAACTACCTCGCTTGATATGCAGGAGTCTGTGGGTTCGAACACGACCCTGACCGTCTGCTGTGTATTTGGAGTTTGCGTGTCTCTCTCCCCGTGGTCGTGTGGGTTTTCCTCCGTTTGGAGTATTTGGCTGCTATAAATATCCACATTACAAGCCACTTCGCTGCGCTATGATCTGTGATGGCCAGGTTGCTTATGAAAAAACAGCCACAACAGCTCAGCTCAGTTGGCCCTGATAAAATAAAACTAGTTTTAGTTGTTTTGTTGTTGTTGTTGTTGTTGTTTAGTTTACCTAAGCTGCTGCTACTGCACCCAGTGTTGCATTTTGGCTACCATGGACAGCTCCCAGGACCCGCGTGCTCACGTGTTTGCTTTCCTGGGCAAAACGCCCGAGACGCAGAGCGCCCACAACTTCGGCGCAAACTCTCTCACAGGTCGCACGACCGAGGCTACGATTTTGGCACGGGAAAAAAAGAAGACTTTAGGAGTAGCGTTCACGGCAGCGGCGTTGCAGGCGGAAGGAAAAAAAACGGCAACCTTGAGAAAAAAATCAACCGATTGGCTAATGCAGCAGTTCTCAACCTTGTTGGCACGGCGTACCACCCGCCCACCCACCCACCTCACCTCACTCAAGACCGCTGGTCACAACGCGCCCCGACTCACCCCAATAAATGCAACTAAAGATTACGGAGGCCCAAACACAGAGAGATCACGTGTCCACGCCTCGAGCCAACGCGGTTTGACCAAGGCACTCGTTTCACGTTAAATGTGCAACTGGAGTTGTGTCGCCAATGCAAACGTTCACCCCCTCCTCGAGTGGAAATCAAAATGTCTCTGCACGGTATCCACGCCGCAGCCTGCGCCTCCCCTAAAGAAGCTGATGGCTTAAGAGAGCTTCAACTGGTAAGATACAAAATAGACGTTTCATTTGAATATTTTTAAGTGAGTTATTTACATTTCCTATACTTCTCACTCGTGATGTGTTATCGTATTGTTTGTTGTTGTAACGTTGTGACCCGCCCCCTACTGGATATCTGTGTAAAAGAGCTTTACAGCTCATCAGATTCCTCCAGTATGAATAATGAATTCTGATTCAGATACACAAAGGCAACGCACGTGTTGAGAACCAGCTGACCCTGAAGTCCGCGGCCATCAACAACAACAATATTTCACGCACGGCCTTTCCGCTCAAGTTCACGATTTCCGTGACCCCTCGTCCCCAAAAAAATCGTGGCCTCGCCCGTGACCCCGCACGGCCCCCACGGGCTCCCCGGAGCCGCACCACGCACGGCACGGTACGTGCGTCAAGCCGTGCTCATCGAGGGACGGACAACGAACCGAGCGCACCATGGTGTAGAAGGCGTCGGCGGCCTCGGACAGCACGAGCAGCGTGGTGCTGCTGCCGTCCTTGCGGATACGCTCCACCACCTCCTCGTGCGTGAGCTTGTCCACGGCGTCACTGCCCACCGCCACGATGCGATCTCCGTCCTTGAGGCCCATCTTGTCGGCGGGGCTCTTGGCGTCGATCTCGCGGATGAAGTGGCCTGCACCGCCACCTCCGATTAGGTTGGTTACGTACGGCGCGACGCGACCAGAAGACTCGCCGCGGGAAACTTTGTACGGCTGAACGGGGGATTGCGCGGTTGTTTCGGTACTCGATGTTGCAACGGTGTGTGTGTGCGTGTCAGCAATACGCAACGCGGAAATGTTTCAATGCGGTAATTGCCATCCTGCAAACGCCCGTGTAAGATGTTGCATGGATCCCTAACCCCACAAAAAGCCCAACAACCGGTTCATTGTTCAGACAATTATTCAGGATCAATCAATAACCGCCGCTGCATCGCTCAATTCCTGCGCTCGAAAACTCATTAAACGGAAGCAATTGGCGTTGGAATTCCACGTCACCCACGGGTGATACATCCACGCACTTGCGCGTGCACAGCAATCGCTGCAAACATTACTCAGCTGACCGTTTCTGCGCTTGTTTATACACGTGGGTGGACAGAGGCGACTGGGGTGGGTGGGTGGGGTGGTTGGGGTGGGTGAGTGGGTGGTGGTTTACAGCTTGAGCAAGACCACGACAAAGGTCGCCTGCTGGAGCAGCCGACACCATCAACTCTTGCCAGGAGACGCTCGGCAGATAAAATCGCGCAGGCCCGGCACGACGACATCCCCGCGTCACGGGTGGCGAGATGTTAACTACCTCGCCTGGTATACAGGAGGTGCCGGGGGTTCGACCCCGACCCTGACGCCTGCTGTGCTGTATATAGTTTGCGTGTCTCTCTCCGTAGTCGCGCGGATTTTCCTCCGGGTGCTCCGGTTTTTCCCTCCTCAACATTTAGAATCAACGTCACGCGTTTAGAGTGTTTGGCTGCTGTAAATGTCCACGTGTTGATAAGCCGCTTCGTTGAGCTATCATTTGTGGCGGCCAGGTCGCTTCTGAAAAAGAGCTATACAGCTCAGCGGGCCTTACCGGGTACACTACAAAAATATATAGTTTAACACCATCTGGCGGTGCACAGGTCCGTGGTTCGAACCCAGCCGCCGCCCTGGTTAATACTGCTGGGTGCATTGGTTATAAGGGAAAACAATCATTCGGCTACTTCACTCGCAGTGGACGTTAGAGATCCCGTCACGTCACCCGCAAGCATCATGGTCCAAATAAATAACTCGTACAAATGAGTTGCATTACCTGTAAATGACTCAAATGGCATCAATATGACAATCATCGCCCCCACCCCCGCACTACTGCGATAACTTGGCAGGACCCTCCCGAACAGGAGTCGTGCGACTCGGTGAATCTTTCCCAGGCACAGCGGCACAATAAGTAAACAGAAATAACGAATCTGGGCACGAGCAGTGGAGGAGAGTTCCGGTCGGAGGAGGATGCCCGGTCGCTACATTTTATTTTTTTGCCAAGCCCGAGAAACGCAAAACTCTGTCTGCGTGTTCACGCACGCACACGCGAACACGCAGACGGGCACACGCGTGTGCGTGCGTGCGTGTGCCCATCTGATAACAACTCCCCCCGTTTTTCATGACAGCGACACCGCCGCTCGGCCAATCAAACCTAATGCCCAGCTCACCGATATCACTGTCCAATTCTGTGTTGCTGATTTGGCTCAAGATTGGCAATACAATCTATTGAAACTCATATAAATATATTAACCAGGAACGGCGTAGCGTGCGGGTCGTGGTGACCTCGCGAGCCCGAATGGGTTTAGCCCTTTGTGCGCGGTGTGAGCGCGTCAGCGAAGTTTCCGCGTCGCCCCATGCTCTTGATTCAGTGCCGCCTCTGGCACGCAATTTATTTGTTTATTTAAAGAACGGCAGAGTCCACGGATTTTCTTTTGGCAATCTACGAATCTGAACGTAGCCGTAACCTTGGACCTTCCCGCAGTCGAATAGCGCGGCTGTTTAGATAAGATGGCTCTGGAATGAAGAAACCGCTGAACAACCTCGGCGCCAGATTTTCTCATTTAGCCACACCGGGGACAGTGGACTCGCCTCTCCCCAATGCCGGCAAGCCTGAACGCTGATACGTGACGACTGCAGCTCGGACGAGGCAGGGCGTGCACTGTGCTGAGCTCGTGGTAGCATCTAAATCAGCTCGAACCTCCGTTAAAAACCACGTAACTTCTATTTCGATTGAAAGCTTTCGTGACTGCAGGGATTCATCTTCTTGGTTCTTTCGGTAAAGTCATCACGTAGAAGGGAAGTAATAAAAGAATAAAAATAAAACATAATAAAATAATTCTCACGACGTTTCGGCCACAACGCAAGCAGCCGTCCTCAGGTGAAGACCAGGTCTGTCGGGGAGACAGCGTCTGACTTCTGTGTGCCTCTCCTCTACCCCCGTGAAAACAGACGCTGCTGCTCTGGTGCCCGCTCACTACCGCTCGCTCCTTACAACTCTCTCCTCCCTCCCTTCCCCCCTCCATCTCATCATCATCATCATTGCCCTCTCATTCCCGGCATGTTGGCCCGGTCATTCCTCCTCCCTCCTCCTCCCTCCTTCCTGCACCGCTGCTGTTCCTCCTCCTCTCTCCCTGCTGCTCATCTTGAGCAGTGTGCCATGTGCCTCGTCCGTCTTGGGGACTTCAGTGCGGGCAGCCCTCTCCCGCTCATCTTTCCCCGCTGTCCGCTACCCTCGATCTTCTTTCCGCAGCAGACTCTGCTCCCCTTGGCCGAGGTGTGGCCAAAGGGGGGAGTGCAACGCCCCGCGGTCGTACATTGAACTTCTTCCGCACCGTACGTAGCCAACCGTGTTGATCAGAGGTGCGTGGGAAGGACGGCGAACGAACGATACGCGTCTCCTCGTCAGGGGGGGGGGGGTGGGGGGAGTTTTTTTTTGGGGGGGGGGGTGCGGGCCCCCCGCGGTACCCACCGATGCGTCCTCGCTCGGCGCGCAGGAAGAAGCCGTATCCGGCGCTAGCGCGCTTCAGCTTGACGGAGCGGGGCTGGTGGGGCAGGGACGCGCGTTCCACCATCTCGGCGGTCACCCGCTCGCCCGTCCGCTTGAAGTGCTCGTTGGCCTCCTTGTCCACCACGAGGAGGTGCACCGTCTTGCCGCCGCGTTTCACCTGGACGCGCAGGAGGTGCCGGGCAGGGCGGTGGTGGAGGGGTGGGGTGGGGGGGGGAGCGGGTGGGATTGTCACTTGCGGGCCGAGGCTTGCCGGGTTGCCCATTTACGAACGGGCGAGGATTATTCATTCTCGACAGCGTTCCGGTCTCGCGCCGCACGCGGGCGTGCTCGCGGTGGGTCGCCCGGTGACACCGCAGTTTCACCTCCCGCGCATCTCTCCTCCACCGGTCGGCACCGGTTGGCCACGTTACGGTGAGCGCGCGGGGGTTCGCGTCGAGTTGAACGCACAACACAAGCAGTCAAAATGCAAACCAGTTGAAAGGGTAAAAACCTACTACTATAGTTGCGTTTATAGTGTAAGCTACGTTAATTTAAGCTACGGAGGAAGGTGCGGAAAACCCCATCGTACTTCTTTGCTGTCAAAGTCCGCGGTCCTCACTTTCACTGCCCCTTCCCCGGCGTGACCAATTACTGGTCGTGTAACCCCCGCCCCCCGCGACCACCACGACCACAGTGACACGGAAGGGCCTCATTCAGCAGTGGCAGCAACAGGCGGGGAGCTGTACGCGTGACGCTATGACGCCGGGAGCACCGCTGACCTTGTCCATGACGACGGCGCGAGCCAAGCCCGTGATGTCCTCTCCGTTCAGAGCCACCAGCCGGTCCTCGGAGCGCAGGCCAGCCTTCTCAGCCGGGGAGCCGTACTTCACGTCCATGATGGATATGCCCTCTGAGCCTGACAAAGACAAAGACCCGCCCCCCCCCCCCCCCGTATAGCCTTAAACGACTGTTGGGCAAAGTACTGTTTGCGAGCACCTATCAGAATGGAATCTGAATATGTATTAATACTGGAGGAATCCGACGATCTGTGAAGTGCTTTTTCATGGCGCAGCACACGAGGGAGTGGGTGGCCAGCAAGCACCACGCCTGGCCGCCTTTGTCTCCCCGGCGCCACACCACACTGGGTACTCATTTCAGGCTGAGTCGACCAAGGGGAGGCCCAGGACCGATTCCGATAATCGTCGCCGGCGTTGGTGGCCGCGAGTGGGAATCGAACCCTGGGTCTCTGCCAGGTTCGTAGCGCAGCGCGCCGACCACTGCTGCACTACCGCTGTACTACCACCCCCGCCCCCCCCCAGCGCCCACACAACAGAGTTCGCCGCTCACCTTCAATGGACTTGAGGTGGAATCCGAAGCCGTCGCTGATGCGCTTCAGGGTGCAGAGTCGCGGGCGGGGCCCTTGCGAGGAGGGTCCCTTGGCCGAAGTGGCCGCCGTCGTCTTCGTAGCCGCCATGCGCTGCTCCTTGTAGGACTTGGCATCCTGGACGACCAGCGTCACCTTGTCGCCGCTCTTCTTGATGATATCCACCACCTGCACGGGTGGGGGTGGAGGGGCAGGGGGGAGGGGCGGGGTGGGTAGGGTGGGGGTGGTGTCAGAAGAATGCCACCAACCAGAACCGGCCCTAGACCTTTGGGGGCCCTAAGCAAAATTTGGTTGGAGGCCCCTTTGATGTATGATTTTTTTCACTCACTATCTAGCAGTGACTCTAGGGGGCCCTCTGCTGGCCACGGGGCCCTTGCAATTGCAAGCGTCGCTTAGTGGCTGGGCCGGCTCTGCCACCAACCCAAAAGAGAAATCCAGCTCACGGCACGGCAATGTGCTGTGGAAGCCCCCCAAATGAGCGTTGAGCAGCCGCGGGCCGACCTTGATGTTCGCCGTGGCCGGGAGTTGTAATCAGTGTTGCTGGGGGGGGGGGTCATAGGGCACTGCGCTAACCACTGCATCACTCCCGTTACCCCTCCCCATAGCCGTACTCGCCTCGTAAATGATTCACCAATTTTAAATCGTTACCCCCCCCCCCCTTCTCCACCCACCCGACCCCGCTTAGGTGCCTTGGCCCGAGAGTAAACGCGCATGCACAGAGCAAACCCATGGGAGGTACAATGGGAGAATGCGTACGTTAGTCCTCGCTGGCACGGAAGGTGGTGCGGTGGTGGTGGTGGTGGGGAGCGGTGGTGTAGCGGTTAGCGCTACGCTGCGCTACGAACCCGGCGACCCGAGGTCGATTGCCGCTCACGGCCACCCACCCCGTCGTGTGCCGTGCCGAGCCTCCGTAGGTGCTGCTCGCTAACGGCACTTTCCCCAACAGTCTTTTAAATACTGGGATTTTTCTGGAATACTTTTGCTTCTAGATTTGAAGCTTTCGTGACTGCAAGGATTCATATTCCTAGGTTTTTTCGGTAAAGTCACGTAGGTCTTTTAAATACTGGGATTTTTCTGGAATACTTTTGCTTCTAGATTTTAAGCTTTCGTGACTGCAAGGATTCATATTCCTAGGTTTTTTCGGTAAAGTCACGTACGTCTTTTAAATACTGGGATTTTTCTGGAATACTTTTGCTTCTAGATTTGAAGCTTTCGTGACTGCAAGGATTCATATTCTTAGGCTTTTTCGGTAAAGTCACGTATGTCTTTTAAATACTGGGATTTTTCTGGAATACTTTTGCTTCTAGATTTGAAGCTTTCGTGACTGCAAGGCTTCATATTCTTAGGCTTTTTCGGTAAAGTCACGTAGGTCTTTTAAATACTGGGATTTTTCTGGAATACTTTTGCTTCTAGATTTTAAGCTTTCGTGACTGCAAGGCTTCATATTCTTAGGCTTTTTCGGTAAAGTCACGTAGGTCTTTTAAATACTGGGATTTTTCTGGAATACTTTTGCTTCTAGATTTGAAGCTTTCGTGACTGCAAGGATTCATATTCTTAGGTTTTTTCGGTAAAGTCACGTAGGTCTTTTAAATACTGGGATTTTTCTGGAATACTTTTGCTTCTAGATTTGAAGCTTTCGTGACTGCAAGGCTTCATATTCTTAGGCTTTTTCGGTAAAGTCACGTAGGTCTTTTAAATACTGGGATTTTTCTGGAATACTTTTGCTTCTAGATTTGAAGCTTTCGTGACTGCAAGGCTTCATATTCTTAGGCTTTTTCGGTAAAGTCACGTAGGTCTTTTAAATACTGGGATTTTTCTGGAATACTTTTGCTTCTACATTTGAAGCTTTCGTGAATGCAAGGATTCATATTCTTAGGCTTTTTCGGTAAAGTCACGTAGGTCTTTTAAATACTGGGATTTTTCTGGAATACTTTTGCTTCTAGATTTGAAGCTTTCGTGACTGCAAGGCTTCATATTTTTAGGTTTTTTCGGTAAAGTCCCGTAGGTCTTTTAAATACTGGGATTTTTCTGGAATACTTTTGCTTCTAGATTTGAAGCTTTCGTGACTGCAAGGATTCATATTCTTAGGTTTTTTCGGTAAAGTCACGTAGGAATATGAAAACCTTTGCCGTTATTTCCTGGATTTTTCTGTTGCGCGAAGTCACTTTGAGACGTTTCTTGTTCACGTTTTTATTTGTTGCGGTTGCACCCGATTCAAGAGCCGAATGGCTCACAGGGCTATACCTATTAAATGAACTGAACTGAAATGCTACACGTGGCGGCGGCGGCGGGGGGGGGGGGGTCTTTGTCTTTGGTGGGGGGGCTTTGAGCGGGGGGGGGGGGGGGCTCGAAAGCCACGCGTCCTTCTCACCTTGGCGTGGTCTCCGCCATCCACGTGCTCGCCGTTGACGCGGATCACGCGGTCACCGTCCTGCAGTCCCGCGCTGTGCGCCGGGCTGCCCGGGGCCACCTCGCGGATCAGGTGGCCCTCCTCTCCACTCTCAAGGCGCAGGAAGAAGCCGAAGCCCTTGCCCGGCTTGCGCTCGAGCGCGCACTCGCGCAGCGCCCCGGCGCCTCCTCCTCCTGCTGTGACCGTCATCGTGAGCGGTGGTCTGTGCAGACGGCGGTGGTGGAGGGGGGCGGTTAGAGGGTTAGCGGGGAGCGGCAGCGTCGCTGTAGCGCTACCGACCCGGCTGACACGTGTTCGATTCCCGCTCACCAGTCAACACCCCGAGTGATGATTATCCGAGCCGGTCCTTGGGGCCTCCCCTCGGTCGACTCAGCCTCGAATGAGTTTACCTGGCGCGGTGTGTAGTAAACATCGCCGCTGGGAAAGACAAAGGCGGCCGGGCGTGGGTCTGGCAAGCCACTCGCTCGCGTGCCGTTCTCGCCTGCATTGGTGTTCGAGGACCGCATTGCACCTCTTGGGATATTGAGTTTGTTGTATCGAATTAGAAATAAAAAAAATTGATTTTCTTATTATATTGGTTGCCGATCCTTGACCATGGGAGTCCAGTTTACCATGGACTGCCATGGTGAACTCTACTCCCCTCCACCTTACTCTCTCAACTCCCCCACTCTCATCTCACTCTACTCTTCTGCACGCTCGGTCAGCGAAACCACCGGCTGACCGACCTTTACTATCCTGGAAAATCGCCCGTTAATGCTGATTGATGTCATTAGGGGCCGTCCATAAATGACGTCACACGATTTTGGACGATTTTTGACCCCCCCCCCCATCGTCACACGGCGTTCAAAAAAGTCAGACCCCCCCCCCCCTAAAATATGACGTCAGAAAGCTCTGCTCCCCCCCCCCCCCCAAAAAAAAAAACATGCTTCAAATCACTTTAAACTACTGTTATTGTAGTGCGTATTTAATGTGGCGCTGCACTCTGATATTGTAGGAGAAAACATTTATTCAAAAGTCTATGTAATTAAGTAGAACGTATTGTCTATATTTATTTAAAGTTGCGCATTTTGATGTGACGTCACATTTCTCACCCCCCCCCCCTCGTCACACATCGTCACAAATATCTGACCCTTCCCCCCTAGGTGCGTGACGTCATTTATGGACGGCCCCTTACCAGCGAACTCTCCAACACACCGGTGGGCTGAAGTAGTAACTTATTGGCGTTTTGTTTACGTGACAAAGCAACTTACTAATTGGCTGTGTCGGGTGGTGGAGGGTTACAACACATTTATACTTGGGCGATCTAACCCAAAAACCTTTATTATCAATAATATTGGTCGCGAGAGCCTACGTGTTAAGCTGCACTTTGTGCTTCGATTAGCACGGCTGGCTACGTACGGTGCGAAAGAAGTTCAACATACATACACACAGGCTATAAAAATATCCATGTTCTCCGTAAAATGCTCATCCCAGTTTTCCTACCGCGTCTTAAGTTGTGGTCGCATTTTAGCTGCTCTGTTTAAAGCAACATTTTCTCAAAGTACTTTTAATACACATAGGTTTATCTCGTTATACATTGTTGATTATTGCGGGGCTTGTCTGGTACGTGTCTAATATCTACCGATAGGGATAATAATTCACATTTCATTTTCGAAGGTCATCACAAAACATTGTCTTGAATGGAATTCCCAACCAGGTCCGATGGTGTCAAGTGCAGCCTCTGACTCTTATTAAGCACTCTGTCTCTCTCTCGCCTCTCCGTTCACGTCCCGGACACTATGAAGGAGACACACACTGCTATCTGCGCTTGTGCAACACCCAAGATTAATGTGTTTGTTCAGCTATTAACCTCCATTTATCTTCATGTTACAGTGTAGTATCCGTTCTTTTTCCATTAAAAAACTATAGTCAGTGCCGGATTATCCTATGAGCAAAAGTAGCTACATATTCAACGGGCCCCGCACTATCAAGGGCCCCGCACTAAATGCTTTCAAGCTATCAATTCCGGTGCAGTGCTTCTGCACTTGCTCTATTACTATCGCACCATACTGCCTTAAACTTTTATGAACGACTGGGTATTTCAAGTTAGCGATTTGTCTATTATCTGGCTGTATAGCAAATGAACAAATACAATGACTTTACTGTGCAAGTTAAAAATGTGTGTTTTAATATTTACGTTTTTTCTCTAATTTAGGACCCCTTTATAACATCATATGCTACAGGTCCCGCACTAGCTTAATGAGGCACTGACTATGGTCCCATGTAAGTGTTAACATTGCATTGAAGCACCCTGTATATAGTGTGCCGACCTAGTGCCCTTGCGCCGCCATCCACCTTGCAGAGACCATCATTAGCATGCAAACTACCCTCCAAGAATGTTGGTACGGTGGCTTGAACATCTGTAAAGTGACTCGCAAATGGGTTCAAAAAGTACTGGTTTAAGGATAAACCCCGTCAGTCATCCCCGACTCGATGATGATGGTGGGGTTGAGCAGGAGCCATAATCCTAATAGCCCGCCAGGAGAAGCCTGGACAGCCAACATTTGGACTCCTGCTGTTCCGTACCTTCGTATGTAGAACTTATTTTGCACCGTACGGAGCCAACCGTGATAATCGGTGGGTCTCTGTGGGGCTCTATGGGTTTGGGTGTCTGTGGGTCTCTGTGTATTTATCTTATTTAAGCGTGCTCCGCGGAGGTGCGGGAAATCGGAGGCGTCTCAGACAAAACTGTGACAGTACTAACATCATAGCAACAATCTTTGATAACATTTCCCAATGTGGGATTAACAGGATATCCGTCTGTATGTGCTAGAGTGTTTCTCCCTCGCACGCGTGGGCTTTGTTTTCCGGGTCCTCCGGTTTCCTCCCTACATGTAAGCGCTCATTCGTTAGCCGACAACACATTACAGATATATAAAGGAACGCAGAGCTTGGGCAGTCGTTAGAAGTGCCTGCTCATTGCTTGGATGCCTTCCCGTTTCTCTTTGGTTGCTCCCTCTTGACTTGTTCTCCCTCCCTCTCTCTTTGAGAGTGAGAACATACTGTGCGAGTCGTACGTTTACATTGCTATGTATCTTTATCATTTGAAAGAAAGAAAAGAAAAACAGATTACCACCTGTCTTGCAAGATTATGGATAGCGCTCACCGTGTGAATGTGGAATTTTCACCACCGTCCCAGCAGAGCTGCACATTTTTGAATGGGTACCGGGCCGCGTTTTTTTTTAATTAAAACGGGGAAGACGATTTAACTTGGATTCGTTATTTCAGCATCGCCATCAGCCATGACCAATCCACTGCTGGATATTTTTCAGTGTTAGAAAAAATTATACGCCGGCGACGTGCTTCTTTGTTACCACTTAATTATATTTGTTTTTTCCCACGTTTATTTTTACCCCAACGTTTATCTTTACGGTATGTGTCCTCTCTTTTACTATTTTATCTTTATTCTGCTGCATGTTGCAATGATGTAGGAACACGTATTGCTACTTGGATACCTCCTGTATCTGGACTATTGCACTTCTTTACAGCCTTGCCTTGGCACGCACACAGCACACACCCAGCTCGTGGCAACTACAGCACCCAGCTCGCAAAATCTACAGCACCCAGCTCATAACCACTACAGCACCCAGCTCGCAACACATTCCTGCGGAGGGAGCTGGCAGGAACGTTGGGTTGATTGGTCAATGGCCAGTGTCAACGGCGGCGTGGTGTATTCCGCAAATATGGCCGACTGTGAGGGCGGGCACAAGCCGGCGTGAGTAGGTTAAACGTTGAGTTTTATAAGGGCACCACGGGGTGACCAGCCCCACCCCTCCCACCTCCCACCCAGCCCCACCCTCCCCACCCAGCCCTTCCCCACCCTCCCCTCCCAGCCCCACCCAGCCCCTCCCCACCCTCCCCTCATACAGTCTACAGTACACAGCTCATACACTCTACAACACCCAGTTCATACAGTCTACAGCAGCCAGCTCATACAGTCTACAGCAGCCAGCTCATACAGTCACATGGCGACAGGCTGATGGAAGTTTTCATTCTACTCGGTTTCTGGAGAATCTACAACCCGGGACTTGATTAACGAGATCATCCTCCTGTCGACGTTTCGCAAGCCAGACCCCCCCCCCCCCCCCCCAGCACAGAGCATTTCACGTTTGCATACTTTTGTCGTGTTCTGGATCTGCTGTGGGTTGCGGAACGTCGAGACTTAAACGAAAAGACGTCACCGTTTTTTTCAAGCTCGTCTGTAGAAAAGCTGATAAACGTGCATTTTCGTGTGTGTGTGTGTTTTAATACTGGCCCCCATTTACCCGGGCGCCCGGCAGGACGAGACTTTTGGCAGCAATTGTCTCCTTTAAAAATGTTGCTGCGTGCACAGGTTCGTGCATTTGCAAATACGCACCGCATTATAAATAGACGTAGTCTATGCATATAGTAAGGATGCAGTAAAGAACAAACTATTACTAAGGAGGGGATTTGAAAGCCATGACGCCGAGTCAGCATATTTACGTCCACAAAGAGTTTAAGCGAATTGAGTACATGCTCAATCGAAATGATTAACAGGACGTTCAACTTACTCTTAAAAGCAACGAATTCTCATGCACAGAGGAGCAAACTCCACTTTAAATGACGACTTAACAACTCCTATAGCATCGATTAGTAGTGCGTTGGACGTGGGAACCAAAGGTTAAACGCCAGAGAAGATTATGAATGATGTGGAGGTGCTAAGATCACGGGTCGGTAAGCAAAAATAGCAAGATGAGCCGGTGGTAAAAAGATTGTTTAAAAAACCCTCAATAATTTTTAAAGCCGCAATGCACTGTGTGGTGAATACGATACGGCGGTGGGTTTCCTTAACAAATAACGTCACGAATCAGTCCTCAAAGAGTCGCTTTCACGTGTGTGCACGAGCGACAACACATTGCGGTGCTATGAAAAAATAAAGTCCCGCTTGTAAAACAACAACAACATACTCTTAGGTTTTTTCGGTAAAGTCACGTAGGTAAAAAGTAAAAATAAATAATTAAATTGTAGAAATAATAATAGAAATAAAATAATAAATCACGACGTTTCGGAGGCAACACAAGTCTCCGTCACCAGGTGGGACCGTCACAGCTAAATTTACTGTATCAAGTGAGGAAAAAGATCCAAGAGACAAGCTCTTAAGCGCAGAGGAGCAAACTCTTACGAGCTTATTTTATTTCTATTATTATTTTTATTATTTATTATTTATTTTGTACCTTCAAGTTTCATTTATTAGGTATAGACCTGTGAGCCATTCGGCTCTTGAATCGGGTGCAACCGCAACAAACAAAAAAACAATAACATGAACAAGAAAACATCTTAAAGTGACTATGTCCAAACAGAAAATCCAAGAAAAGACAGCAAAATATTTCAGAAAAAGCACCGTACACCTTCGCGACTTTACCGAAAAAACCTAAGAGTATGAATCCTTGCAGTCACGAAAGCATCAAATCTAGAAACAACAACAACAACGAAGACAAACGTGGCAATTCACGAGAATGCGGTGGCAATCGCCGTGCAGGAGACATCTCGCACTCACCCGCTGAAGCCTTGCGGAGCGTGGCTCTCGGAGTCCGCGTGCTTTTAATCGCCGAGCGCGTCAAGAGCAAAGGTTCGGGGGGAGACTTGGGACCCTGCAGCCAAAGCTCTGCTTTGCCTTGCCCTGCCACTCGCCTCGCCTTGGCTCGTAGCGTTGCTGGCACAAAGTCCACGAGGGTAAATGAGCAACTGGCTGAAGGGTCTCCTCCTCGCATGCCCCAGCCACATCTTTTTTTTGTTTGCCCTCTTTGCACCCTTGCCAGGGTATCAACAGCCTCTTGTGGAGATATCGGCTTTTGTGCGTCGGGGTGTGTCCTCTGCGGATTAGCTTGAGATAAAGGCGAACTCTTCGTCGGCGTGGGTTTCGCCGGTCATGGGACCTGTTGTGTGTATGGCGAAGCTCTTTCGCAGCGTGCGTAGCCAGCCGTGACACCAACAAAACGCAAATTTTTTTAAATGTTGCGAGGATTGCTCATGGCGAACCTCTTTTGTACCGTGCGTAGCCAGCCGTGACAGCGACGCGTCAAAACCGTGTCCAGAGTTTGCTTATAACCAGCATCATCAGGCAACTTGCCTGATGATGCTGGTTGTAAATACCAACGAAACGCAAATTTTGTTAAATGTTGCGAGGATTTCTCAAAAACCGCACCGGCGGTGCTGCTAAAGCAGTAATACGTTGTCGTTTTAACACGCAGGCTTTCGCGACCGATATTATTCATAACAAAGGTGTTTGAGTTAGATGGTGGAGAGTTACGACGCATTTATACTCACTTAATCCAGAAACTTTATTCGTGAATAAATTGGCATGTTTGTTGACAGCCCTCATCTCGTGAGAACACATCCCCAGAGTATTATGAGAAGCATCCATTCGATATAATTTAAAATCCCTGTCATACACGAACACCAGAAGCCTTTGGACATCAGCTTAGCCAAATCACCGTGACTCCGTAATCAAATTTATACAAATGTTTGTGTGCTAACCCTCACCCCCCAAAGCCTGGATTAGCATCGGCTATGAGACCGGGATTTGAACTTCGAACCTTCGCTATGTAGGCGGTACGGTCGGTACATTACCAATAGCCCCCCAGAGTCACCCAGCCACATTGTGGCCAGACCAACGTGAATTGCCTTCCCCCTCTGGAAGTTACTATGTTACGTTGTGAGGCGATTTGGTGATAGATAAACTCAACATGTTTTGCATTAACTCTGCGAACTTTCTTTGTCACGCTGTGTTTGAACACCGCCTTATTTTGATATATCTGTTGGCAAATTTTTTATTTCAGTTCGCCAAAGCGGCTCGCTTCGGAGGAGTGGGACGATGCAGAGTCAGGGTTTCTGAGTCAGCACTGTTGAGGACCTGGGTTCATATCTGGGATAGAGCCGCTAATGATTAACCAGGTTCTCAGGTTGTTAGTTAATTGATTGTCTCAGCTTGGTCACCAATGACTCCGCACCAAAACCACCCACCCACTTAAATGTTGTTTGCCAGATAAGGTTGCTCATTCCAGCTCATCATCGTCATAACGATCTACGGGCAGATAGCCCCGTCCGTGTCCACTGCACATTGTAACATTCCTTTCCACTTTCCTCTGTCTTGTGCCATTCCAGTTCAGACAATTAAAATGTTTGGTTTGATTAACACATTTCTGCACGACTTTCACAAGTCGTTGGGTGATGCCTTCTCCAGATGCCGTTCTCTGACACAAGGTGGTTGTTCCCCGCTCGCGAGTTCCAAAATGGAACCTTCATTTCACGAGGTGACACCCATTAGTGAGGTCTCTATTGAACCTCAATAGAATGCTTTACAGGGTAGATGGAATATTTAGAATCGCCCACGTTACCACGAACCACCGGGGTCCACATAGTAACACCACTGCCGCACTTTGATCAATTTGCCGGCAGCATGTCAAAATCTTTATCACGTGACCACTGAGGCTGCTCATTCTTGCTTGCTATGCTCGACATAATTAGACAAACGTTGTCGATCAGCTAACTCATTGGCATTCGAAAAAAAGAAGCTTGCCCAATGCAAAATGTGAGCACCATTGGGAGAGCTGTCAATACAAAACTTTTTCTTCGTTGTTAAGAGCGTATAAAGATTTTACGCTTTTTTATTTTTAGTTACAGGATTGGTGGAACGGAAAATTGCATTCTTACAGAAAACGTATTTCGAGTAAAATGTTAACTCGATCTTGCGTGCATGTGCGTTGAACTTATTTCACACCGTGCGGAGCCAGCCGTGCTAATCGGAGGCGCCAGTTAATCATGAAACCCACAAGCATTGCCCTGGGGGCAGATTATTCAATTAGTAAGACTGCACTAATGCCCGCTACAAGTTCTGGGCGTACAGTTGGGGTGTAACGGTGTATTGATGAATCAATCAAAGCCGGTTCTTGTGCGGCAGGGTGGTACAGGGGTGACGTGTGTGCCGTACAGCAACACATTCCTCGGTTCGATTCCCGACTCGGACAACTTTCTGGTATGCGTGCCTATCGCCTGACTTTACCGTGTGGGTTTAAAACTGCACTAATACTAGATTCGAAGCTTTCGTGACTGCAGGAATTATTACCCTTTGGTTCTTTCCTTAAAGCCAGGTAGAAATAAAATAATAATAGACTACAACGTTTCGGTTGCAACACAAGCAACCATCATCAGGTAGGAATGAAGGATAAAACACAGGCATGGAAACAACATAGGCAGACACACATGCTGTGTCAAAACCTGGCAGGACCTTCTTGAAAACAAGTCTTGAGGCTCACTCAGGCTGCCCTGGGTAAACACGTATAATAACAATAAAAACAAACTCACGATGGAGACATTGTTTATTCAAATGTGTAATTTACTCAAGTAATATATGACTACAAACACAACAGTAAACGAAAGCCCACGACATGCTTACACATGTCGACGCATTGGGATCTACGGATTAAATGCGCCTTACAAATGTAAATTATTATTATTATTATCACATGGACCACGACCACATTAGGCTGACCATTTATAAATAGCCCACAAACCATCCCGTGTTTATCCGTCACTGTAAACATCTTAGACGCACTAATCGGATACTATTTCTTTTCGAGCTGGCAGCGGCATCACTGCTCAATGATAGGGCGTTGGGTTTTTATTTATTTCATTTTAAGATGCGTTCAACATGTGTAGTGTGATGTATGGAGGCACACACTGGAGTTGGAGGCAACACGTTTATTTAACAACTCCCCAACAGGGTAACTAACTTAACGTACACTGGTTCTACTGCCAAGTGATAGCTACACAGTTAACCACGTGAGCAGCGGGTTAGCTACACGAACTGGTCAGTCAGCCTCAGAGCCGGCCCAGCCACTAAGCGACCCTTGCAATTGCAAAGGGCCCCGTGGCCAGCAGAGGGCACCCTAGAGTCACTGCTAGCTAGTGGGTGAAAAAAATCATACATCAAAGGGGCCTCCAACCAAATTTTGCTTAGGGCCCCCAAAGGTCTAGGGCCGGCTCTGGTCAGCCTACACGCTGCCTGACCCCACGATGCCGAGCGAAGACCGAAGACGACAAAAAGCAGCACCGAGGGTTGGTGCCACGCCCCCTTCTGGATCTTTCCAGAAGGCGCTCGGCTCCACGTCACGTGTCACTCGAGCCCCCATTCGGCCCCCTCGCTACCCTGCCTCGGTCACGTGCTCTCTCGGGTTCAAACGGAGCAGCACGTCCTCATTTGCTCTGCTTCAACCCTCGCCAGAGCCATGCCCCCCGATGGCCAGCTTCCATGTCAACCTGTGGTCTGGTGGCAGAGAGTACTCCCTCAGTGCGTTTCCATTCCTGCTACAGTAGCTGACACCAAGCGCGATAGCGACACCAATAACGTCACTACACATGTACGTGTGGTAGGAAACCTGAGCATCCGGGAGAGAAACAAGTATAACCCGTAAAAACTAAGTTTTTCACTATAAATCCTTTATATGCGTGGCGGCTAGAGTCCTCTCGTCCTCTAGCTTGAGATGGCTGCCACCTATGGGTCAGATGATTGTCTGCCAGTATTAAGCAATTGGTAATTAAATATTTAATTAGTTTTCCCTAAACAGTGTAAAATTTTGGAAAAAAAATTTGCACGAACATTAATTGTCTCGCACAACGAGTCTGTGTGCAAAATGTCAGCTCGATTGGATCACGGGAAGTGGGTTAAAAAACGACCGAAAGATTTGCACGGTCGTAAGCAAGCAAGCACGCAAGCACGCAAGCAAGCAAGCGAACTTAATATAAAGGATTTAAAAAAAACACGCTTGCGTGCGAGGGAGGGCGACAACGCTCTTCCCCGTACAGCAGGAAACCGATGGCGATTAGTCCACTGGCCGTACCGCCCTCTCCTGGCGAGCCAGGATACGGCACCTCCTCGAAGCTCACCCACGGGAAGAAGGGGGGAGTTTCACAACACCAGTGCGGTGATCCACCAACACCTCGCTGCCTGCACAGTGCTGGATCATAGGCAGCCACGTGCGTAGCCCCGCCACCACGCTGGAATTGAAATCCTAAAGGTCGCCGGTTCGATACAATCTCCCCCGGGCACGGCAGTTCGGTCATTGTGGAAAATTTCAACGGCTGCCAGGTTACTGGTTTGATGAGTTAATATTTACTTTTGAAAAACGTAATTTAAGGAGGTTGAGGAATGAGAGAAACATGTGGGGTGATGGGGGATTGTAAAGGGTAAGGTTCAGACGATTGTGCTCATTTGGTTCCTAGTTTGGAAAGTTTCCTTCATTATGCAATCACCCGCCGTCTTGAAAGAAAGCCAAGTTTCGCGTTCCAGAGGGCTTAATCCGTGTTCAATTTGGGAGCATGTTTTTGGCAATCGACTGCGATAACTTTCCGCGATAACGACCAAATGTTATTTTGGGACTTTTGAGTATTTTGTTTTACTTTTTACAATGCCTACACTTTGCAAACGACTGAGGCACAGATACTGCAGCCGTAGATGGAAGAGGGTGTTGGTGTGTGGGCAGTGGTGACACAATGTGTTGTTGTCGTTCCCAACATCGCGGTCCAAGCGACCAGTGTTTGATTTCCCGACAAGAATATCACCGGTGAAAACTGACAGACGAGCCTCGTCTGTGCATTCTGCAGGTCAGCTCGGTTTTAAATGAGTGCCACGAGTGTTGGCCATCCAACCCCCTCGTGTGTCGTGCCGGCCTTCGTAGGTGCT